ATGGAAAATATCACTAAGACCAGTAGTTACTAACAACTGTTTGCTCCAGACCTCCGGATGAAGGTCCACTGAATGTCAGTTGCTCCAGAAATTCACATTAAGTAGGCTGCCCCTTGGGAATGAGAACACATGGACCCAGAGATTCTTTAGGTTGTGCAGGTCTTGCTGCGAGCTGGCCTGGCCTTGAGCTGTCAACACAGCTGAACTCTGGCTCCCCCTACAGGCTCGAGTGAGAATTGCCTAGACTTCACTTATTCACTCTTGGCTCCTCAGGCAGACAAATAATTTCACCCAAGCACAGAAATCAGCTAGAAATAACCTACTCAAAGCCACATCTGCACAGAGCAGAAGGGGGCCTTAAAAATCATTTCTTCGACGCCCCTATCACTGTTCCTCGTTAGAGAAACCCAGGCTAACCGAAGTGACCGGTGTTTCTTTGGCCTCTTTGCCCCTGGCTCTGTCTGACCCATTGAGCCCACGTGAGCAACAAGGAAAACAGGAACAGATGGTTCTTGTTCAAGGTCAGGCCTTCCTTCTGCCTTTTTATGACCACGCGGTAATTCCTTAAAATTGCTGATGAGTAAGGTGAGCGTTCGGGAGAGAGAACAAAACCTCCATCCGTTAACGAGCCACAGGGCCCTTCGGGTCACTTGTCGAGAATATCATTCCCACTTCAAGATTTCTGTAATACAATTCTAGTTTTCGGATACTCTCCGTTGGGGAAAGAAAAGTAAATAGTGAGATTCTGTCAAGAAAATAGTAAATAGAAAGCCGTGAGTGGTGGTGCTGGTGCGTACCTTTTAATTCCAACGCTCGGAGGAAGTGGGAAGCGGGTGTCTGTAGAGTTTCCGGCAACCCAGGGAGATGCTGCCTCAGAACAAAACCCCAGACTCCCCTGCGCATTAGGGTTAGTGCTTATCAACGGCAACAAAATGCTTTCTGCTCTTGACTGACTGAATGGATACTGTTTATCCATTCGGGGGTAACTGTTAACGTTTGATACTTTATCAAGCTTTCAGAAAGGTTTCTGCGTCCAATTTCATTAGTTTTTGCCCCCTACCTCCTGTAACTCAGCATAGTGTGGAGGACACTTAATCAAGCCATATGTATCAACCATCAGTAGATCACACTCTGGTTGGGAGTATCTAAACTACGTGTTAGGAGACGTTTGTTCAAGGTCAAAAGTTCAAGATTCTAGCTGTGGTGGTATCTGCTACACCAAAGTGTGAGCTGCCTTCCTGAAAGCATCTAGCAGTACATTGTTGGATACAAATGAGACACATCAGGGGATCAGGGCAACAAACACTGGATGTGACTCATCCAGCAACTAGGAAGAAGAGCAGGAGCTTGGCCTAGGTCTCCCCATCCGACATATTGCATCTCAATTTTGATGTGAATACCTTCATATGGATACTTACGGTAGACATTGGAATATTAACTTATTCTGTGTATTGTGGAGATGATGCCCAGCTTTGTGTCCTTGGGCATGTGTGATTTCTAAATCCCCACGCCTCTACCCTGGTGAGAGGTATTTTGTTGAGACTGATCTCTGACAAATGGCATCTAAGGGCGTGAGCCAGAGGCCACTCAGCTAGAGAATCTCCCACTGTGAACACCAGGTCAGCCTCAGTGGTCCTGCTGGCTCTTGGTAAAGGTCCATTGCAGGCCTACATGTAATGTGTGTGGCTGAGGCCATGTGCCACGTGCAAAGCAGGTGTGACCATTTAAAAACAACCTCACTCTGCATGGCGTGCCTATTCATGTATCTGTCTCTTGCCAGCTGCGTGGTTCCCTGCCCAGGACAAGTCGCTGTTCGGAGATCTGCAGCGTGGTCTCGTGCCCTCCCTACCTGGGACTGACTGCTCTCGGGACCCGCTACCCACTGCCGCCTCTTGACCTGTAGTGTTTCTGCTGCTGCAAATACTTGGGGACTCACAGCAATATTAATTAATCCATTACACCACCACCGGGCTATTATTTTCTATTTTTAATTTAAAAAATTACACACTACATTTTGATCGTGATGTCCCCTCCCGCAGCTCCTCCCAGCTCTTCCCACTTTTTTACCCACTTAATTTCATATTCTTTTTCTTTCCAAAAAACAACAAAACAAAGAGCCAAGAAGACAAAGAATACCTTGTTTTGATTGGTTTTTTTAGCCCCAGGCATTTGAACATTTGGTCCTCAGCTGGTGGTGCTTTGGCCTTGCTGGAGAAAGTGTATCACTGCCATGGTGACAGGCTTTGAGAGCCCCACTTTCAGTTCACTCTGCTTTGTTGAGTTTGTGGTTTAAGATAATCTCTCAGCTTCTTGCTCCGGCTGCCTACTGTCATGCCTCCTCCACTATTCTGGATTCTCCCTCTGTGACCATAAACAATAAACCCTCCCTTAGGTTGCCTTTTGTCATGATGTTTTATTTCAGCAGCAGAGCAATAACTAGAACACCAGTCTACTATTTCCACAGCTGGGTTCTCACAACAAGGGTTTGCTCATTGGCCTTAAACATCAACCTTCTTTCCCAGCCATGCGTTCAACTACTCTTGTAAGAGCACCAACCTCTTTGCCTTACTGAAACTAGACTCAAAACTATATTCCTCAACTAACAATAAGAAAACCCAGAGTCCAAATCCAAATCATCAAACTAGAAAAAAACAGCAAATTCTTATCTAAGAATACTACTGTCCATGAAACAAGCAAGCACAGGGAATAGCGTAGCAACCTAGGGCTTGAGTTTGGGCCATGCAAACCTGTAACATGAGGGGGCCGGCTTGTTGGGGTTTCTGTCCCGTCCGGTACCTCACAACCGGCAACTCCCAAGGAGAAATCACACACAGGACTCCATAAGGTTATAAACTGATTGGCCCATTCGGTCAGGCTTCTTGTTAGTCCTTGTAACTTACATTAATCCATTATCATTATCTATGTTAGCACATGGCTCCGTACCTTTCTCAGCTGGGCAAGTTACATGCTGCCTCTTCGGTGGTCTGTGCAGGAGTGACAGAGGAACCTCTCTGCTTCCCAGAATTCTCCTGTTCTCATTGCATCACCTCTACTTCCTGTCTGGTTTTCCCGCCTATACTGCCTGCCTGGCCAATCAGCGTTTTATTAAAATATGATTGACAGAATACAGACAATTCTCCCACATCACAAACCTCTCTTCTAATAGTGCATGTGATTACCCAAGACCATTACCTGCATGTACTATGTGCACACCCCACTCTAAACAATAGAATACGTTTACCTTCTGCTCAACAACCATCAACATTAAACATTCTATTAAATCATATTCTGGTTATAGCCAGGAATAAAAGTAGGGAGGCCTTTGACAAAGCAAAGGTTCCTCCCTCTTTGATGTAGGAGGGTCTTCTATCTATCTGCTGCTTTCATTGGCTAATTAATAAAGAAATTGCTTGGCCTGATAGGTATGCAGGGTAGACAGAACTGAATGCTGGGAGAAAGAAAGCAGAGTCAGGCAGTCGCCATGCTTCTCCTGCCCAAGATAGAGGTGGGTTAGAATCCTCCCGGTAAGCCACCACCTCATGGTGCTACACAGATTATTAGAAATGGGTTAGATCAATATGTAAGAGTTATCCAGTAAGAGGCTACAGATTTATCTTATAATATGTAAGAGTTATCCAGTAAGAGGCCAGGCAGTGTTTGAATGAATACAATTTGTATGTTGTCATTTCGGGTGTAAAGCTAGCTGTGTGTGAGCCAGGCGGCAGGAATGCAGCCCACTGCTCCTATCACTACACCTCTTATCTCATCTGGAACCATATTTGATTTAACCTGAAAGTGACCACCCCAAACCCCCATCCCCGTGGTTTGAAAGAAAATTACTTCCAAAGGGAGTGGTATTTATGGGAGGTGTGGTTTTGTTGAAGTAGGTGTGGCATTGTGGGAGAAAGTATATCATCATATGGGTGGGCTTTGAAGTCTCATATGCTCAGAATACTGCCCACTTCCTGATGCTGGCAAGATGTAGGAATCTCAATTACTGCTCCAGTACCATGTCTGCCTGTATACTGCCATGTCCCACCATGATAATAGACTGAACCTCTTAACTTTTAAGTGAGCCACCCCAACTAAAGGCTTTTCTATATAAGAGTTGCCGTGGTCATGGTGTCTCTTCACAGCAACAGAAACCCTAAGACACCCCCTTCTGTTCCTGCTATGAAAGATCCCGTGGGAAAGTACCCAAGCACCATTCTAGGAACTTGGGTCCAAAAGCCCTAGTTAACTGCATGGTTTTGGTTTTTTGTTAAACTGCTTGCTTACTTTACTGTGTTCTTTGCCTTTAAAATCCCCGTGTAAAATGCATTCAGCAGTGCTCTGGGAGAAGTGACTCTCTCCAGTCGGTCCCCAGCGAGGCTAATGCAGACTCAATTCCGACTTCAGCCACTGTGAGTCGGCACTGTGAGTTATCTTTTGATCTCTACCCTACAACAAGGCAACATTGCCTACGCTAGTTTTGGGTGCACAGTAAAATAGACTGTCCTCCAAGTAAACTGTAGGGGATAACTCTCTTTCTTTACTGTCCAATGACTACAGAGCATGCAGTATGCGTGATTCAAATCATACACATGTTGGGTGCAAGCACAGTATAGAAGTGGTTATGTAATTTAGTCTGTCAGTCAAAATGGAGAACCATCCAAACTACATCCCTCCTAAGCAAACACCTCCTTCTAAGACCCCATGAAAAGAAGCCAACAATAACCTGGAGCCCTTGAGTATGTTCTCCCACGGGGCCTCCATTCTAATCAGGACAGTGGTTTCTCTTTAAAGTAAGTTTCCTGGGTACTTTTGCGATGTTTGAGCCTTTATTTCAGTTCCTTGAAGAGGCCAAGAACCTCAAAACCCAGTCCAGACTTCAATCACAACATCCATAATCCACTTACAATGGCCCAAAGTTAAGAGTTCTATCTTAGGTAAAATCATGACACCAAAAACCTTAAACGTAAAATTTTGGTATTTGGAGAAAAAAAAGCTTCACAAAAATATGAATTTGCATGATCTCATTTTATTAGCCTAGCAATACAAGTCATTTTAATAAATTAATACATACAAGGCTACAAAATTGTTGGCTGTATATGAATGTGTTGCAAACATATGTGTAGAATCCTTTGAAAGACTGACTTAAAAACTTTTTTTCCTTTTCCTTTTTTTTTTGATTTTTTCGAGACAGGGTTTCTCTGTAGCTTGGTGCCTGTCCTGGAACTAGTTCTTGTAGATCAGGCTGGTCTCAAACTCACAGAGATCTGCCTGCCTCTACCTTCTGAGTGCTGGGATTAAAGGTGTATGCCACCACTGACTGATTTGACTTAAAACTTTTCAAGCTCTCAAGTATGATAATGCTATGGGAGAAGAGTGGAGCTCCCATCGGCTGTGATTCATGGTTTGGAGTTTATAAAGGTTTGAGTCCTGGCAAGGAGCCACATCTAAAATGAGAACTGATGGCTGAAATCACCCAACTATCCTAACCGCACAGACGAGGAATCCGTAGGCCTATAGAGCTCAAGGTCCACTCACGGAGCCTCGGAAATGCTTGGGAGTCCAGTCATATCTGAATGGCCTTAGTTCTTTCTGTTTAATACAGGACTAATAGCTGGTATTCCTTTGGTAGTTTTTAAACTTGCTCAGTTGCTTTAAGACAAAAGCACACCCACTTCAACCAATCACTGGCCGGGAGTCTGCTCATGCTTTTCTCTCCTGAGGTGACTCACATCAGACTCTGTTCTGCTCCACTGTGTTCACAGCAGAGAAAGCCTGTTAGTGGAATTTCCAAGGCCACTGATCTGAGCACGGGACAGTCTCTGTGTAGCTCATTCTCACCAGTACCCTGTTTTATCCAACTGAGCAGTGGCACTGCTCTCTAAGATCATTGGGGGGGGGGGGCATCAAACAGCAGTAAGATTTCCTATCCTATTAAAAATGGGCTGGCTGGAGATCCAAACCAGAACTAGAGCACTTGCCCAGGATGTGCAAGGCTCGAGGTTCAACACATCCCCACCTCTGACAAAAAAAAAAAAAAAAAAAAAAAAAAAAAAAAAAGAAAAAGAAAAAAGAAATGTAACATAAGATGTACAACACACTTCTGGCAGCTTTTAACTTACTTTGCCTCAGCCTAATGGCTACATAGAACTGTACATTACTCACTGGTTAAAAAAAACCAACCCGGTTATATATTTTAATTTAAGCCCCCATTGAGTGGGTACAATGTATTTATTGGCTATTTTCTTTTTAAAAAAGAATTTTATTTAGTTGTATGGGTGTTTTGTCTGTGTCTGTGTACCACATGCATGCCTGGTGTCCAGAGGTCAGAAGAAAGCATGAGAACCCCAGGAACTGGAGTTACAAACAGCTGTGAACTACACAAGTGCTGGGAATTGAACACAGGTCCTCTTGGGCCTGTGCTCTTAATTCATGAGCCTTCTCTTCAGTCCCTACTGGCTTTTTCAGGTGCAGGAGTCACACCCTAATGTGCTGGATACCAGTGTACTTTCAAGTCTATGCATTCACAGAAAAGCTGTGTTTACAGAAACTTCTCAAACTTCTGCACAACTGAGTCTGACTTTTTGCTACTCTCAGACCGCAGTGAGGGAAGAGTTTTTCTCATTTCTCCTCATTATGTGCAGGCTTATTAGGCGTGCCCTCATGCTCTGCTGTGGAGGTGCCACTTATGAGGACTAGCGGTCACACAGGCTGGGACATGTTACAACTGCTGCTATGTGAAGACTCAACCTAACCCGTCTGAAATGCGGTCCCTCAGTCATTTCAAGAAATAAAGGCCCAGATACAGAAATACTTGCTCCAGCCTGGAAAAATTATTCATGCACTTTCATTTGCCAAGTTGGCAGACTTCACGCCTCTCACTGACAGCAGTTTTTCTCCATTGACTGTGTTTCTTTTTCTCCTGTCCTAACGTAAGGGATGCACCAAGTATCAGGAGTTGTTCCTTTCACTATTGCACTCAAGCTTGGCCCTCCTCAGTCACTAACTGTAAGCTATAGAGAAACCGTGGCCTCACAGTACTGAACTCTGTGCACGAAGAGCAACAGGAATGACTGCTAACACGAACCATGCAGTCACAGCAAGGTCAGGGCGGCTGGCTGCCAAAGTCAGAGCACAGCAGCAGGAAAGGCACACATTCCCCTAGGTTTCCAACAAAGCAAATGACAGAGAAAGGCCTCATCCGAATCAGCTCCACAGCTCCATCAAAATGTAATCTTTTAAAATAAGGACCCTGCAGGCTGCAAAGATGGCTCAGAGATTAAGACCATGTAGTGCTTTCCAAGGACCCAAGTCTGGGTCCCAGCACCCACGTCGGGTGGCTCACAACCATTTGCGACTCCTGTTCCAGGAGACCCGATGCCTCTGGCCTTCCTGAGCAGCTGCACTCAACACACACATGGCCTGACACAAATGGACAGACATACACACACACACACACACACGCACTCGCGCGCGCACGCGCACACACACACACACACTAAAAATAAAAAGTAAATCTTAAAAACAAAAATAAAAAGCCTAAGGATTGAAGCGGATGATGTTGTTTTCAGAAAAATGAGTTAGTTTTAAGATGTTCAAATGGTGCAACCAGGAGAAAGAAAAAGCGCCAGTTCATAAGGCTCTTCCTTTAAATTCAGATGGACAATTAGGAATCCTTCCAATGCCGTGTAATCACGAAATCCAGGGCTGACGTCACGGGCTCATTTCTTATGAAGAATTCAGCAGCTGATGAAGAGCAAGCCACAGACAGCTGTTCTGTGGAGAGGTGGCTCACTCAGCACTTGATCCGTTCACCTGGGCTCATTGCCTGCTGCTTAGGATTTGGGTTCCTAAGGGCTTCTTCAGCATTTAACTAACTCCTTGTTGGTTGAAGGTGCTGGGACTGTTTCTCCAGACATAAACTGATCCTAAGACAGAAGAAGAAAGGCTATTAGCCACCAGATGTCTGTCGCACAAATGCATTAACATCTTCACTGCTGTATCATTTGTTAATACAATACGAAATGTGAAATTTTGGAAAAATCCATTTATAGTATTAGAAAAACGGCAACAAAAAATTTAAAAAGTCTAAGACTTCAGACTAAAAACTGTTCTCCATTGTACAACGTTAGCAGGACCCTTGCTCTACACTAGATATTAGTAGCTATCTCTGTAACACAACTTGAGGCAAAGGAACAACTTAAAGATTTATTTTATTTTCACTTATGTATATGTCTTACCCCACATGTATATGGGCGGGGCAAAGAGATCATCAGATTCCCTAGAGCTAGAGTTACAGGTGACTCTGAGACACCAATGTGGGTGACAGAAATGGAACTCCAGGCCTTTTCAGAAGCTCTTAGCCACTAATCATCTCTCCAGCCCCAATAGCATTTCATTTTTGTTCAAAAAATTGGTGTCAGCACTAGAATAAGAATTAAGAGCATGTTGAAGTTTAGTCTTAAATTCATTATTTAATAAGCAGTGTCTTATAAACGTGCCCATCTTTCTAGAAAGCAAACACTTCCCAGAAATCAACATGTCACATCTTTTAAGGTTTTGCATTAATCAGTTCAATATCTGTCTGATCATTCAAATATGTAGCCTCTTTAAAAATAGGTCTTTGTGTTTCTCAACACTGACCTAAAATAATATCTAATTTGAAAATGAGGTTCAGTCTCTGATCTTTATTTTGGGTTTGTTTTTGTTGTTTTGCTTTTTTTTGCGGGGAGCTGGGCTTTTGGTCTTTTTTTTTTTTTTTTCGAGACAGAGTTTCTCTATTTAACAGTCCCAGCCTTTCTAGAACTCTCTCTATAGAGCAGGCTGGCCTCAAACTTACAGACCTCTATCTGCCTCAGCCCCCTGAATGCTGGGATTAAAGGTATGGGCCACCACCCCAGCTCAGTCTCTGGTCTTTTATCCTGGTTGATGCCAGCTACCACAAGAACTCTCACATCTACAGTGTGATTCCCAAAGAGTCAGCCCCTAGTCTGTCCTTGTTGCTCTTCGTACCAGAGACCATTTTAATTCAAAAATGAATCATTAAAGTCCTACATTATTGTCTAAACTAAAGCCTGCCTCTCACAGAGCTCTGTGCTCTGGACTACTTTACCCTAGACTCATTTTAGAGTTCATCCTTAAGACTGTTAAGCTCCTTACTTAAGACTCCAAAACATTAACTGCACGTCAGGTGGGGAATAAAAGCATTTACCCCCTTCCTACAGTCATTCTTATTGGGTAGGAAGGAACAAAATTAAAATGAAACTGTAAAATCACAGCTAGGAGTCTGAGCTATCTCAAACAAGACAATGTTGATGCATAAACCAGGCAAGCAATAAAATGCAGTCTTTTCGAAATATCCTGCAGCTCTGAACAAACAACTAAATATTAAATACAAGGGAAATGTCAAAAGAAAGAACATCGACTAAAATACTTTCATATTTTTTCATTCCTGATTCTTTTTCATTAGATTTTCATTATAGAACAATTTCTTTATTGCCTTTCCAAAGTGAACATGTTACATAATTTAAACTTGAATAACATTATCATACAGCTACGTACTGACAATTTTTAAAGCTTTTTAAAAAATAGCCCTTGGTTTAGCATAAAGTTAAGAAAGTAGTCTTCTAGGCCGGGCGTGATGGCTCACACCTCTAAACACAGCACTGGGAATCAAAGGAAGGGGGAGCTCTGTGAGTTCAAAGTCAGCCTGGTCTACATAGCGAGTTCCAGGAAAGCCAGGGCTACATAAAGACCCTGTCTCAAAAAACAAACAATAACCCCATCCCCACCCCACCCCACCCCACCCCCAAAAAACCAAAAATCCAATCCTCTTCTGCCCTTTTATATCAGACAGACTGCTTTAAGGTTTTGTCATTATCTCACACCGCCACCCCCTTTAATGTATCCCTTACTTTGTCATAAATCACTTTTATAATGAGCGAGCAGCTAGGACACGTTGCCACGTCTTCTCCATTCTCCAAATCTTCCTACGACGAAATAAAACAATGTACGGTCAGCATAGCCTCCCTTCCGTCTTCCCACAAACCTCTCCCATGTCTATGTGCAAGTTTTGGGATGGGTAATAACGCAAAGAACTTTTCCCCAAGTGTCACCTCGGAAAACAACCAGGGAGATTAGATTGATTTGACCGCCTCCAAAACCCTGGGGTACAAAATCGAGTTCCCTTCTCAAAGCAGCCGCGGGGGGGGGGGGCCGGGGGTGATTTTAAGCATGAGGCTAGGGAGAACTGCGCCCCGAGCCAGACCGTGTACCCCTGACAGCTTGTTACTACTTTAGGGGCGGGGGCTCAGAAGAACACGTGAGAGACTCAGGCTTGCCAGAGACACCGGAAGCGAAAATGCGCAAGCACGGAGTCGCCGGCGGGCCCTAAGGATACCTTGGTGATGGAGAAGTTATCCCCACAGGGACAGGGGTAGAAATAAGTCTCCGAGTCCTCGTCATATTGAAAGTCCTCGATCTCCACCTCGTCGTGAAACACCGCCATGGTAACCGAGCAGAAACCGCATCAGTGCCCCTACCTCCGCCAGGGCAGAGAAGGCCTTGCGTCCCGACCCACCCGGCAGCAGGGACAATCACTTCCGGGATGGCGCAAGGCGATGACGTACCTCTGACGCCGCGGCCAAATGGGTGACCGGGTCGCGGTCGCCCTGGAGATAGCCGAGCTTGGGCGCTTAGGGCCCGAAGATAGTGATTCCTGCGCAGCAGGGTTGCGCATCGCTCCGCCCACTGGGTGGCAGTGACCAATAGTATGAGGGGTCTCGCGCGCGGCTGCTACGTCACTCCGGGGCCCGGGGAGTTTGGGCCTGGGCCGTGAAAGAGTACTTAGTTTCCTGGCCTCTGGAGTCTCGTCCTCCATCGGTGACTTCAGAGAACCTTTCAAGAGTTGGCTGGAAGCTGCGGCCCTTGTTAGAGAGGGGGCGCCTCGTCCCTGAGGCGCAGGGAGCCACGCAGCGTCCTCTCCAGCTCTCCGCGGTGGTTGAACACACAGCTGTCCTGGAATTGCGTTTCAGGCGACCTTGAGCGCAGAGGGACGCCTGGCCTGTTGTAGTTCCTGCCTGCAGGTACTTCGCTGCCTGTCTCACCCAGGCCAACGTCAGACACCCTGAGCTGTGTTGTAGGGGACCGAGATCTGTAAGACAGGGATGAGTTCTAGCCTTATTTGCAAAATTCACTACAGTGATAGGTGCAGTAGCGTTAATAATATCACTTTTAATTATTGGGGATTTTAGCGGACCACCTAATGCGCTAAATGTAATTCTGTTGATCCTGGGGTTCAAAACTCTATTTCACTTATCTTTAACTCAGATTCAGAGACTAGGTATCTCGCCCAAGATTACATATCTAGGCATAATGAGGGACCTGCCTGTCTCCAAAGACCAGGAACAAATTATTTATGTGAATTTTAGTTCTTGGTTTAAAAAAGAAGAAGAAGAAAAGAAAAGAAATGAATGGTTTTCCTGGTAGTATTGTCAACATGCAGCTTCTTCCTTGAAGGTAAAAGGTAAATGCAAATGAAAAGACCTCTGTCCTGAGAGCAGTGCTGGGTGGGCCTGCTTTGATTCCAACCAGAGACTTTGGAGCATCACTGTGTTACTAGGATCTCACTCAGGTCTCACTGGAGGAGTGCAGTGTGGTGAAAAACCACTGTGGCAGAACAAGATCCTGGACCCGAGTCTGACTTGATGGACTCTCGGAGTTGGAAATTTGCATTCTTTGGTTCTTCCTTTCTGAGAAAAGATTGAAATCTAATATTGTTTTGCGTGGGAATTAATAGTTATACTATATACTTATACAGTTACACTATACTCATGTATAACTAATGTAGCCTGCATTTCTATAACTTACACTTAACTTTTAAGTACATACAGTTTGCCTAAGTTACCAACCTTCTGCACATTGAAAGGACACTACATTTTGAAGCTCTAAAGGCAGAGAAGTCTTTGGGGCGTAAAATCCAGATGTTGCATTAAATGAGTATATGGAAGATTGTTTCAAAGATCTCATGTTCTTTTTTGCATAACTAGAGACTTACATAGCAATTAGGAGATATTTGTAGCCTGTTGAGGGTTAACTGTAGTCTGTCTGGGCAAAGGAAAAATTCTGTGGAAGTCTTGTATCTTTATAAATACAAATATTTCCCAGGTAGCCTCTGGGACACAGGAAATAACTGACTTTCCAGTATCTATTTTTAGTTCAGATGATCACGGTTAGAAACCATCTTTCGTTCTTATGAGCCATTCTTGAATGTGCAGAAATGGATGTAGTTGTGGGTCGGGAGATGGTTTGGCAGGTAAAGTATATGGATCTCCAGCACTGATGGGAAGAGGCACAGGCACAGAGACAGGTGGATCTCCGGAGCAGTGGCCAACCAATTGGTAAACTCCAGGTCCAGGGAGAGACTAGCTCAAAAATTACAGTGGAGAGTGAACACACACAGGCATACACATGATTGGCTGCATCCATATTTGGCTCATAGCATGTATAAATTCTTAGGTCTATTATTTAAAAAACAAGCAAAGGACTAACAAGATGGTTCATCAGTTAAGAGCACTAGCTGCTCTTCCTGAGGACCCAGGTTAAATTCTCAGCACCTACACTTAAGCCTATAATTGTCGGTAGCTCCAGTTCCAGGGCTTCCAGCACCCTTTTCTGGCCTCCGAGGGCACCAGGAATGGTGCACAGCTGTACATGCAGGGAAAACACCCATATACAGAAAAACAATAAGAAAATGAAGCAGGACAATTGACACAGTGGCTAATAGTCTCACTGCTCTGCTAGAGGACCTGGGTTTCATTCCCAGTACCCACATTGAGGTACACAGCTGTCTGTAGCTCCAGTCCCGATGGATCCAACTTCCTCTTTTGACCTCCATAAGCACCAGGTACACACATGGTACACATAAGACATGTAGGCAAACATTCATACACATAAAATAATAAAAATACTTAAAAAATAAACGTCAAAACATTTCTGTTTACTGGTACTGGGAATCAAACCTTGGGTCTTATGCATGCTAGATACATGCTCTTCTGACTTAGCTACACCCCAAGTCTTGAATCAATTCAGACTCATCAAAACAATTTTCTTGGTCATCTTAAAACCTGAAGTTACAAGGGTGTCTTAACTAGGGTTTTATCGCTGTGAATAGACACCATGACCATGGAAACTCTTATAAAGGAAGACATTTAATTGAGGCTGGCTTACAGTTTCAGAGATTTAGTCCACTATCAGCATGGCAAGAAGCAGATGGCATGCAGGCAGACATGGTGCTGGAGGAGCTGAGAGTTCTACATCTTGATCTGCTGGCAGCAGAAGGAGACTGAGCCACAGCAAGTGTAGTTGTGAGCCACACTGGGCGTAGCTTGAGCATATAAGATCTCAAAGTCTTCCCCCACAGTGACACTTCCTCCAGCAAGGACACACCTCATAATAGTGCTACTCCCTATGGGCCAACCATTCAAAACACATGAGTTTATGGAGGCCATAGCTGTTCATAACACCACCAGGGGTCAGCTAGATTTTCTTTGTAATTTCTCAATCATTTGCATCTATGTTCTTTTAAAAAGAAAAAATAATGAGTGATTATTTATGGTTGTTGATGCTGTGTTTCTAAAATGCTTATGCATATTGTGTCATTCAAATAACACAGTAGGGTACAGATAGGCTGTATCTTTAGCATTGGGAAATGAGGTTTAGGGGCTGAAGAGTTTGCTAAGGCAAAGCTGGAAATTCATGGCGTTGAGTTGGATCCTTCTGATCCTAGAATCAGACTCTTAATGAATAACTCTGCTGTGTATGATCCAGTTCAGGCAGGATGAGAGGAAGCCAGCAGGGATGTTCCTACAGCAAGTTGTAGGCCCAGATATCCAAACATTTTCTATACTGTCCATTCTGACAGCTCTGCTACTACTGCTCTACCAGAATCTTAGACTAAGTCCAACTTCCTGCTTCAACCCAGGCAATCTTTTAAAAATCTAAGTGAGATCATGTCCTTGTTCTGGTTGGCTGACATTCTTCAGTTGCTTCTCGTGCCCATCAGGTGAGGTTTATACCTTTACATTGGCCTGCTGTGACCCAGGACACACTTAGGTAGACATCTCCCTGTCACTGTCACCCAGCTTGTTCTCCAGGTACACTGGCCCTGGCTCTTCTTGCTTAGGCTTTGTTCTTGCCAAGATCTCTACTGTAGTGTTTGCCCCTTCGTGTCTGCCCAGCTGCCTCTGGGTGCTGCTCTCGGCTCAGTGGTCCTCACCCCGAGAGGCCTCTACAAAGACCCCCCACCCACACATTTCATCACTCCTACTTCCTCTGTCATATTCGTCCCCCATCCCTTTAATTGTGGCAGCACCCATCTCGTGCTCGGCTCCTCGGGCTTGGCAATAGGCACCTTTACCCACTGAACCAGCTTGCCAGTGTGATTTAAATAAATACACATACATATATGCTTTAGATTAAGGACTAGAATAAAGCTTAGAAGGTGAATTGAACACAATTTTATAAAGAACCAGGTTGCCAGTCTGATTTAAATAAATACACACACGTGTGCACATATACGCACACACATATACACTTTAAGGACTAGAATAAAGCTTAGAAGACCAGTTGAGCACAGTTTTATAAAAATGCCTTTCTTTGCCAGTAGGTGACACTGTTGATCATGGTACTGTTAACAAATTCAGACTTTGAAAAGAACAGCTTTTGAAAATTAACTTTCTTTAGTTTGCCAGTTGAGTGGAGTAGACTGTTTTTATTTTAATTTTATATTCTTTTTTATTGATATTTATTGAGCTCTACATTTTTCTCTGCTCCCTTCCCTGCCTCTCCCCTACCCTCTTCAATCCTCTCCCAAGGTCCCCATGGTCCCAGTTTACTCAGGAGATCTTGTCTTTTTCTACTTTTTGCTTCCCATGTAGATTATATCTATGTAAGTCTCTCTTAGTGTCCGCATTGTTGTCTAAGTTCTCTGGGATTGTGGTTTGTAGGCAGGCTTTTTTTTTTTACCTTATGTTTAAAAACCAGCTATGAATGAGTACATGTGATAATTGTCTTTCTGTGTCTGAGTTGCCTCACTCAAAATAATGTTTTCTAGCTCCATCCATTTGCCTACAAAATTCAAGCTGTCGTTATTTTTTTCTGCTGTGCAGTACTCCATTGTGTAAATGTACCACATTTTTCTTATCCATTCTTCAATTGAGGGGCATTTAGGTTGTTACCAGGTTCTGGCTATGACAAACAAAGCAGCTATGAACATAGTTGAGCGCATGTCCTTGTGGCACGATTGAGCATCCTTTGGGTATATACCCAAAAGTGGTATTACTGGGTCTTGAGGAAGGTTGTTTTCTAATTTTCTGAGAAATCGCCACACTGACAGCCAAAGGGGTTGTACCACCTTGCATTCCCACCAGCAATGCAGAAGTGTTCCCTTTTCCCCTCAACCTCTCCAGCATAAGTTGTCCTCACTGTTTTTGATCTTGGCCATTCTTACAGGTGTAAGATGGAATCTCAGAGTTGTTTTGACTTGCATTTCTCCAGTGACTAAGGATGTTGAACATTTCCTTAAGGGTCTTTCAGCCATTTTAGATTTCTCTGTTGAGAATTCTCTATTTAGGTCTGTACTCCATTTTTTATTGGATTATGTTATCTTGTGGTGTCCAATTTCTTGAGTTCTTTGTATATTCTGGAGATCACACCTCTGTCTGATGTGGGGTTAGTGAAGATCTTTTCCCATTCTGTACGCTGTCGTTTTGTCTTGTTGACCGTGTCCTTTACTTTACAGAAGCTTTTCAGTTTCAGGAGGTTCCATTTATTAATTGTTTCTCTCAGTGTCTGTGCTGCTGGGGTTATATTTAGGAAGTGGTTCCCTGTGCCAATGCGTTCAAGTGTACTTCCCACTTTCTATAAGGTTTAGTGTGGCTGGCTTTATGTTGAGGTCTTTGATCCATTTGGACTTGATTTTTGTGCATGGTGATAGATACGGGTCTATTTTCATTTTTCTACATGTTGATATCTAGTTATGCCAGCACAACTTGTTAAATATGCTTTTTTTTCCACTTGATATTTTTTGCTTCTTTATTAAAGATCAGGTGTTCGAAGATGTGTGCGTTGATATCCAGGTCTTCTATTCCGTTCCATTGGTCCTTCTGTCTGTTCTTATGCCAAAACCAGGCTGTTTTCAGTACGGTAGCTCTGTAGAAGAGTTTGAAGTCAGGGATTGTGATGCCTCTAGAAGTTCTTTTATTGTACAGGATTGTTTTGGCTATCCTGAGTTTTTCGCTTTTCCAAATGAAGTTGAGTACTGTTCTTTTGAGGTCTTTGAAGAATTTTGCTGGGATTTTGATGGGCATTGCATTGAATCTGTTGGAGTAGACTGTTTTAAACAGCGTAATCACTAAAGGTGTACTGTATTGTGAAAGCATTTATTTTAGCAGTGGTTGTCAAAAATATTAGTGGAACAATGTTCATCTTTCACCAGAGGATGAACTTAATGATAGAGACTTTGATCCTAAGTGTCTTATAGCTGTTTTTCAAACTGTTGACTAAGATTTTACTTTCTTCAGCACAGCACCAGCTCAAACTGGGCAAAATCATAAGGGGAACTACCTGAGGTCAGACAGGAAGAACGGCCACAGACAGTTGGATGCAACCGTGTGGAGGGTATCTCATAGGGTGGGTCCCCTAAGTTGCAGGAGTTGAACTCAGACCATGAAATATCAAGAAGCAGCAGATGAGGAATAAAAAGAAATGGTCACAAAGTGGGAAGGGTTAATGGCAGGGAGGAGTTGAGAGTGAAGACCTCCCATTGCAGTGAAGGTCCCTCCCTTCAGTTTGGTGCTGAGGCTCAAACCCAGTGCCTGTGTGTGTGTGTCAAGTAAACACTACTATGGGGATTCACACTTTCTTTTGCAAGAGAGACTTGATGGGGCCTTTTCTGTTTCCTGTCTTTATACTTACCCATTTATTGTCTCTGCCCTCACAGGAACTTTGTGGGCATTTCGGTATGTGGAAAATTGCTCTGTTCCAGCTGGTGTGAATCCAGAGGTCTTAGTATCATACCAGGACCAAAATATTGTGTCGGCCAGCTGAGGACCCCCAGAATCCCATGGGTTTCTAAGTAAGTTCTGCTTGTTTGCTTTCAGTGACTTAACACACTGTTTTTGGTTTAACACATTTAAGGGAGGTTCATGAGGTAGCAGAAGCCTTCCACCTCTCCTACTCACTGGGAACGTAGCCAGTAGCACGGCTGTTCCTCACTGCTGAAGGGGGCTCGGACAGGAGGAAGGCTATCTGTCTGGAGAATACTTTGGGGGCTGTGGCTTTTGAGAAATTCTCATTTCCATCGCTACCTGGTATATCCATTCCTTTAGTTTTATCTCTACCTATTAGAACCTAAATTCCCCAGAAGCTTTCTTCCAACCTGCCCCTCCAAACCTTAGGCAAGTGCCTGCCTCATGCTTGGCCTTTAATAAATTCCATAGAATGAGAAACTGCAAAAGCTTCATTGTTGGCTTAAATATTCTAACACTAAACTATTTCTAATCAATCAATTAGCACCTTCTAAAGTGCTTGGGAGTCATGTTTTATTCACACTTCATTCTCAAAGCCCCTAGGAGAGAGCCAACCAATGTACAGTATGAAAAATGTGGGTGTCTTAGGCTAAGAAATTTTTTTCTGGTTTTTCAAGACAGGGTTTCTCTGTAGCTTTAGAGCCTATCCTGGAACTCGCTCTTGTAGACCAGGCTGGCCTCGAACTCACAGAGATCACCTGCCTCTGCCTCCAGAGGGCTGGAATTAAAGGCATGCACCACCACCGCCCATAGAAGTATTTTTTAAATGGCAGAAGAAAGTGGTATGGGAGCCACACAGTAAATGGCCTGACTCTTAATCAGTGCCGTACCTGCTCGTCTTGTGACTTTAAGACATAAAGTGGTAGGATGGTGACACATGCTTGTACCCACTGCAAGGCAGGAGGAGTCCACGTTTGAGGCCAGATTAGAGAACACGGTGAGGTCATAGGCCAGCCTGGGCTGATTTCATAAAGCCAAAAAGAAAACAAGAGTAAAGTGTTGAGAGTCTTTATTTCATTTCTACTGAAGTATATTATACAGACAGAAAGTATCTAGCTACAAGTACAGTTTGAAGATTTTTTTCTACTGAGGCACTCAGCAGCCATACACTTTCCAAGACTAATTTCTAGCATTCTAGGTTATTTTTGTCTAGAGTCTTTGGAGTCTAGCTACTTTGATGCCATTTGATACCTGCAGCCTATAACTGAATATTACTGCATGTAAGTAAAGTGTATTCTTTGTCATTGATGCTGTGTATAGTGCATGAATGCATCACACTTTGCCCACTGTTGTTTGTTTCTTTTGGAGAGTTGCTAGTTTGGTCTGTTATAAATGGTATTATCTATTTGTTTTAAGTATTTGTGAACTTTAAGCTTTTATAAATAGTAATTCTTAGAAGATTTATTTTTCGCTGGGCAGTAATGGCATATGCCTTTAATCCCAGCACTTAAAAGGCAGAGGCAAGCAGTTCTCTGGGTTCTAGGACAGGCTGGTCTACAGAGTGAGTTCCAGGGCAACCAGGGCTACGCAGAGAAATCCTGTCTTGAAAATCTGCCCCCCCCCAAAAAAGACTTATTTTCATTTTTTATTTTTGGGGGTGTGTGTGTGAGAGAGAGAGAGGGGGGGGGGGGGAGGGAGGAGGCCAGAGGAGTTGGATCCCTGGAGTTGCAAGTAGATATGAACCACCTGATATAGTTGCTGGGAATTGGGTCTTCTAGAAGAGCAATACATTTATTTTGTTTTGTTTTGTTTTGTTGTTTTTGAGACAGGGTCTGTATAGCCCTGTATGTCCTGGAACTCAGTTATAGACCAAGCTGGCCTCAAACACACAGAGATCCACCTGCCTCTGCTTCCCAAGTGCTAGGACTAAAGGCGTGTTCTGCCATACTCAATCCAAATCCTTAAGCAATTTTATTTAAATTTTTCATTACATTTCTTTCATTCTTCATTTGTGAGGGGAGGCCGGGGATACACATGGAAATCAAAGGACAATTTTTAGAAATTGATTTTCTTCTTCCATTGTGTGAGTAGGTGCTTTGATTTTATGTATATGGGTGTTTTTCCTGTGTATTTGTCTGTGCACCGTGTATTGGTACCTGCAAAGGTCAGAAGAGGGCATCAGATACCTGGAACTGGAGTTACTTGCCATATGGGCACTAGGGATTGAACTCAGGTCCTCTGGAAGAATAGCCAGTATTCTTAACCACTGAGCCATTTCTTCAGCCCCCACAGCCCTTTGCCCCACCCCTAACATAGTCTCGCATTTCTCTACTTTTCTCTGAAAATTATTTGAAATTTCAGTTCCATTTGTGCAGGAGCGCCATGGCCCGTGTTGTCTTGATTCCTGGGTTGACTCGTAGCACTGTGGGAGCCATCTGCACGCAGGCTGCTTCGTGGAGATTAACAGCCAGCACTTTGCGTCACCTTACTCTAACCAGGTGAGTTGTCGGCCTTTGCTGCAATTTGGGTTGATTCTCGAACCCTGATCTCCTGATGGTTTGGGAGGTCCTTTAAGAGGGGCAGCATCCTGGCTTCAGTGCTATAAGATTGGAAATAAGTGTGCATTTTAGCACTGGCAGAGGTTTGCTATTTTGTAAAATCTACAATTAATCACATTTTTGATAGCCATGGTTTTCGGCAGGGGAAGCTAGTTTTGTTATGTTATGAGGATAATGCTTACTAATCTAATTTTACCTTCTTTTAAAAAGCATAATGAAATCCAAAAGGAAAACTGATCACTTGGAGAGAACTGCAAGTGTCCTCCGACGGGAGGTCTGTATCTCTGGGGCGTGGTGGGACAGTCAGGGAAATTTTATTTTCCTCCCCTGGAATGTCCTCGGCAGGGGATAGGATAGCTGATTTGGAAGCAGTGGCTGAGCAGTATTAAGATTTTCCACTAAGTTTGGTGTGAACGGGCTATTTTGGTGAGGGGGCACAGACGGGACTAGGCGCCCTCTGCACAGGCACATTGAGGGCATGCTGTAGGAGAGGGAACTGTAGGCCTCTACACATGACGAATGGCTTACCTTTTTTTCTTTTTTTGCCATCATGTCTCAAAGTCCTTGTTCGCCCCACTGTAGAAGCACCTCCTAGCTCGTCAGAGCAGCACTGACAGTTGAGACAGGAAGGTGGACGAGCTCACTGCCCTTCCCCTGCAGACTGTCAATCATACTCAGGCTATAGAAAGCTAACCTGCCAGCTGAAGGGTGCCGAGGATCCTCACCCTTTACCTCAGTGAGTAACCCTGTTTCCACTTAAAAACACACAGTGAATGCTTGCCTTTACTTTTTCAGTTGTTTCGCACATAGTCAGTTATATTTAGTTTAGTATTAGAAGTCCATGTGAGGCAAGATAAACCCTGTTTTTATGCACTTCCACAAATGTGACTAGACATATTGCCTCCATAGTTGTGTGTGTTAATACCAGGAGACTCTTTAACATACAGGTATGTAGATAGTACTTTGAAAACTTAGCTCTCCTTTAGAGTTGCCTCGGTGCTAAAGGTGATTGCTGATTCCTTTGATTGTCTTCTTTTTGAGATGTAGAATGAGTCAGCAGAGTAAGTTTATAGGCATATAGGAAATCCTTTTCCCATTGATAAATCTGAAAAGATTTTTCAACACACAAAAAAAGTGTTGGTTGTATAAATGTGAAGCTTGCTAATGATTTCTTCATGAAAGTGAAATCCCATCAGTTGTAAATTAAACATGGTTTTGATTGCAAACATGTATGTACTCTTTTTGTGGCATCTGGAGATGGGTAGATAAATTAGAGCTGATGTTGGCAAACTTTATTCAAAGGTCTATGTTGTTAACAATTTCATCACTAAACCGAAACCAGGTTACCTATGATTCAGAAGAGCAACAAGTACAGGAGGATTGTGTAGACTAAGGGAACTTGTTTCAGGAGAGGAAGGAATGGAAGGCAAGGTTTTGCAATACTTTAAAGACTTTCTAGTTTGCTCCCATAGCATAATTGATAGGCTACAGTGGATTCATGATTCCAGTCCACCACAATGTACTGGTCCTTGTCATCCATGCCCACAGTTCCCCTGGGATGTGCTGTGCAGTGGCATATATAATAATAAATGGATGAAGTGCAATATATGATACAAAATAAATTAATGCAGTAAAGTAAGTGGCAAACAATATGCACTTACTATGAGCCAGCAGCATTAGAAGTGCTTTTGCTTGTATTTGCTACTTCAGTGCTCCCAGCAGCGCTGTGAGGCAGAGGTGTTACTGGTTTCAGCTCCTAGTTGAAGGGGGCTGGAACATTTGCCCTGGGTTACATGGTGGTCAGTGGTGTTGCCAAGATTAAAGTGGGGCCATCTCGCTGCAGAGTCCATTCTGTTAGCAGCTGTGTTCTTCTGAACTGCTCAAGATAAAGCCAGTGGCATCGTATATCATGTCTGATGAACAGGAAGGTGCTAGAGAAAAGGCTGATGTGAAGAAAGGGCTGACTGGTAGCTGCTTAGCAGTATAGGTCACAGGTAGGGTGAGGACCAACAGTGTATGTAGAAAGGACATGGCCTGGTGGCACACATCTGTAATCATAGCGCTGAGGTAGACATAGCAAAGCTGTATAGAAAGACCCTGCCCCCCCCTTTTTTTTAAGGTATAGTCTTTGGGGCTATCATAGAAAATCACCCACTTATTCTCCAAGACAGGAAGAATAACGGATTAGCTACAATGCAAAGAAAGAGAGGCAAGGCATTTTACAGCAAAGGATGGAAATTTTGGGAGCTATATTGAGGTAGTGAGACTTTTCTACTGCATTGTGAAAAATCATCCCCTCATTAAGAGTTGGTTGGACCTGGAAGTCTGATTGAAGAAAAGGCCAATATGAGCTAGCATCAGGGTAGGAAGTTTCTAGAGCATCTCCTGGTGGGGCTAGCTAGGAGTCCTCCATTGAAGGGACTGCATTTGATCATCTACCCACTGCCCAGGTGGCATTGCAGAGCAGGAATCTGAGGGAAGCTGTGTCTGTCTTTGACCCTTAGAACAATGTCCCAGCTTTAGGGGAGAAAGAGAAGTGTAGAGCAGAGGTGGAATAAAGGAAGTGAAGACATTTTTTGCAGTTGATGGGTGCTAAGGCACGAATTACCCTTCATGACTAGTTCCCAAGTCTCTCCGCTTGGAAGTTCTCAGAAAGTGCATTGAGAGCGGTGCTTCCCAAACTCCCGGTAGGAAAGGGCTCTGTGTGTTCTTGTTTTAAGGTCATGAACTGCTTATATTTTGGAAAAATATAATAAATTAGAAAAATTTAAGAAATAAGCGTTCAAGCAAGGCGTGGTGGTACACACCTTAATCACAGCCCAAGGCAAGGTGGGTGAGTTCAAGGCCAACCTGACCTAGTAGTCCCAGGTCGGTCAGGGCTACAAAGTGAGTCCCTGGCTCACAAAGCAGAAGGCAGGAAGTGCATGAGTACAGACCCAGCTTACCGTTTCTTTGCTCCTTCAACAGTGCTAGCTGCTTTCTGTGAAAGTCTGCTGTTAGCATCTATGGACTTCTTCCTCAGAAGCAATGATGACCTCACCTGGCCTACTACTGAGGGGGGTAGTAGATGCCGAGCAGGGTTGCTGAGGGCATCTCACTAACAGCGCTCTTCGGGATACCTAGTCCAATGCTCAGATGGATACTAGTTACACAGTACCTATAAGGGATGATTTTTGTATTCAGAATAAAATAGTGTTGTAGGAGGTCTCATAGAGTTCATTTGGTTTACCACCTGATAGAGGGCAGAGCAAAGCAGTGTGTACTTTGCCTTGTTGGGCAGTTTTCCAAAACAGCATGTTTCTAAGCCCCGAACCTTTTTGCTGATTCAGGTCATGGCTACAGCTAAGGTGTGTGAAATTGCCCATGAGTCTCCATCAGTGAAGAGCCTCCGTTTGCTTGTCGCTGACAAAGACTTCTCTTTTAAGGCTGGCCAGTGGTGAGTGGTGGCTCCCTTTCCCTGTAAGATAAGAGGTGTCACATTTTCCTCTGGAAAGGACTTTTGTGGGTACCTGTCCCCCACTAGGAGAGAAGGACTCTGGGTCATTTCAGTTTGGGCATATCTTTTTGAGAAGAGTCTCTCATTGAACCTAGCTCTCAAGATGATTTAAAAAAAAATGATGAGGACAGATGTTAAGCTAACCATGTAGTCTCAGAATTTTTCTTTATTTGAATAGACAGTGGTCCATAGCAGTGGGTCAGGACCCTTTAACAGAGATTGTCTAAGAACATCACAAAACCCAGATATTTACATTACAATTTATAACAGTAGCAAAATTACAGTTACGAAGTAGCAACAAAATAATTTTATGGTTGGGGTCACCACAACCTGAGGAACTGTGTTAAAGGGTCACGGCAATAGGAAGGTTGAGAACCACTGGGTCTGCAGTTTTCAGTGTCTTTGATATCAGGGTGATCGCAGCTTCGTTAGAGTAAGTTCCAACATGTCTGTTCTCTTGTTTGGGGTGGTTTCTGGAGGATTGGCATCAGTTCTACTTTAAGTGTGTGGTGCAGCTCACCAGTGATGCCATCCAAACCAGAACTCTCCTTTGTGACGTTTTATTAATTCAGTCTTTTGAGTTTATGTAGATTGATCAGGTTTTTCTGTTTCTTCTTGTGCCATTTTTGATAGTTGATGTCTTTTTAAGTAATATGTGGTTCATGTAAATTAGCTTTTAGCATAACAGTTCTTCAGAAAATTCCTGAAGAATTCTCTTTATTTTGTAAGATTAGTTATGGTTGTCCCTCTTTTATTAAGTTAGTAGTTTATATTTTCTTAGTCTAACTAAAATCTTGTCGATTTGTTTCTTTGCCTGCTGTTGGCAGTTTCTTAGCTACTGCAACAGGAATGGTTTGTTTGTCTGTCCTTTCAGGGTTGATTTCTTTATCCCAGGAGTCTCCGTCGTTGGTGGGTTTTCAATTTGCTCCAGTCCCCAACTGCTAGACCGAGAGAGAATAATAGAGTTGGCAGTGAAATACACTGACCACCCTCCTGCTATGTGGGTTCACAAGGAGGTAAGCAAAGACCTTTTAAGGAAAACCTTTTCTTAAATTTATTTAATTTTATGGTATGAATATTTTTACCTGAATGCTTGTTTGTGTATCATGTTGTTGAGAACTGACCTCGACAGACATACTTCTTACCAGGGAAGGGGCATGGGAATTGAAGAAATATAAGTAAAGAATATGAAGACGCATAGAAATAATAAGACAGAAAATAGAAAGTATCTGGAGGGCATTCCAGTTACTGAAATCCTGAAATTCTACCCGCATTTATTTTTCCACGGTTTTTATACCCAACATAGACGTTATTAACATAATACAAAGGATAAATCACCCAGTCAGTGGCTTTATTACTTTGAGACATCAAATCATTAGCATTCTGTTGTCTAGGTAGCAAAGAAGACCACCCTTCCCTAGGTGACCTCATAGTTGCTAAAGAAGGAGCAGAAAACATTTGCATATCCTGACCACCTGTCAGGATGGCATGGACTTACTAGAATGAGCTATCTTAATTTCAAAAGAACCAAGCAGTCACCTCCTGAGCTAGGAGGAGCAACTGTGCTTGTCAATCTCCAAACTCTCTGACCTGACCAGCAGAGAGGTGGAAATGGGCCTGCATTTTTTGGCCTCCACACCATGTGCTTTTCTGTTTCTCTCAGAGTCACTGATGGTTGTGGGTCACCATGTGGGTGATGGGAATGGAACCTGAGGCCTCTGTAAGAGTGGCAAGTGCTCTAAACTGCTGGGCTTCTCTCTAGGCCCTCAACTAACTTTTAAAGTTGGAGATCTGAGCATCTCCGTCTACCTCCATTAAATGTGTGTTCAGCGTGCTTAGTTCAATTGTAACCCAGACCTGCAAGAATAGGGTTCTGAATGGCAAGGTGTCCAGTGGGAGGACCGGAAACTTGTGAGCATACTCACACTGAGTTCTCCAGGAAGGGTGGAGAAGCAGAACCGTGTTTGTGAACTGTGTTTTAAAAGGATTGGAAGCATTCTACACAAACGTTTGAAAATCAGCTGTTACATAAACAGTCTCACTATGACCATCCAAAGGAAGGAACTGACTCTGCCTACTGTCTGGAGGGGAATCTCTTGCGGTTACAGAGTAGTGCTCAGGGGTCATTAACGCTGAGTCTTTGGTGCTCTACACTGATCACCACGGGCTCTTCATCCAGTTCTAAATGTTGCTTGTAACTCGTGCTGTCTCACAAGGTTTACCCCATGCCTGCCTACACCACCTGCCATTACCCACTAGAATGCCAGGAACAAAATGAACTTTAGTTTTTGACCCTTTTTTTTTGTTGTTGCCCCTTCTTCCATACCATAGTATGTCTTTTATATTTACCCACAACCTCCATCCTGTTTCAGGGCTTTCTTGCTTACCAAATGTATCCAGAAACTCAGTACTGTTTCATTCTTTTTCTGGAAATCATTGACAGTCAAAAAAAAGAAAACAGAAAGCAAAAACTAACTTTATTCTCATTGCTGTGTTTGTAAAGGTTGCAGAGTACTCTCGTGTGTGGGAACTACAAGTAAGGCAAGGAGGGAAACCAGTAGCAGATCTGGCCAGAACACCAGCAAAAATGCATAGGGGGTAGACACTGGCACTGTCCCACACAAACAGCGGGGAGAAGGGTGGAATCTAGTGGTTACAGTTTGGCTGGGTTAGGGGAAGAGCCACACAAAGAATTATAAACAGGCCATATCTAGGCAGTAACATGTCAGTGGGGCTAAAGAGACCTTTTGTGTGGTGAAAACTTGGAAATTAGATCACATTTTTGGCCCATCCCCCAGTATAAGACCAACTTTCATATGGTTCTTCAGAAAAGAAAAGAAAAGAAAAGAAAAGAAAAGAAAAGAAAAGAAAAGAAACAAAAATAACTATCCATCACGATCTCATGAAAAGAATCAAAGACATTCAGTGTTCTTAAATTGGGAGACTCAAACAAGGAACAGTTCCCTTTAAATTGATTGGTGGATTTATTGGGGTTTTTTTTTAACTTTATTTTATGTGAATTGGTGTGAAGATATCAGATCCCCTGGAACTGGGGTTGCAGACAGTTGTAAATTGCACATGAGTGCTGTGAATTGAACCCAGGTCCTCTGGAGGCACAGGCAGTGTCCTTAGCCTCTGAGCCATTTCCCCAGTCCCGATTGGTGGATTTATTGTAAAACTCAACAAAAATATAACTGTTTTTGCAGATTCAGACAAGTGACTTGCTAGAGTTTATGTGGAGGGAAAAGAACTAGAATTACAAGAACAGTTCTGAAAAAGAAGGGAGCAGAAAGGGTTCGGATGGTGTACGATGGTGTACGCCTTCATCTCAGCTGGGGGTTGTAGTTCAGGGCTAACTAACTTGCTCGACTCAAGAGCCATCTCTTAAGCTAACAATGACAACAAAAAGAGAATCACTTAAAAGTTTAGGAGTAAAAAAACAAAAAACAAAAAAACAAAAAAAAAACAAAAAAAAAAAAGTTTAGGAGTAAAGGAAGATGATAGTAATCAAAACAGTACTGTAATGAGCAGATCAATAAAGTGAGATACTGGCTGTGCAACCATATTAATATAAACAGAAGTGCTAAAGAAACAGGTAGCTTTTCAACAAATAATATAGAAATGATTGTACATTCACATAAAGCACATGGAAACCTTGGGCCTAAGTCTCATACTTTACCTTCAGGATTAAAATGGATTGTAGACGTAGGTGTGCAGCTGAAGCTGTGGAAGTTCTAGTTGAAAACACTAGGAACACTTGGAACTTGGAAGTGGAGGAAGAGCATGACACCAAGAGTAAGAACTAACTATAAAAGAATAAGTTATATTGGAATTAACAAGATTAAACTTCTCTGTAAAAGACTGATAACATATAGTAGGAGGCCACTTGTTCGTTTCCTGGCTACCCAGACTCCCAAAATAACCATACAGAAACTGTTTTAATTAAATCACTGCTTGGCCTATTAGCTTTAACTTCTTATTGGCTAATCTTACATCTTAATTTAACCCATTTCTATTATTTTATATTTGACCATGAGGTTCCAAAGTGTCCATCTCTGGCTGTGGCTCCATGGCTTCTCTCTGACTCCACCTCCTTTCTTCCAGCATTCAGTTTAGTTTCCCCCGCCTAGTTCTACTCTACCCTATCACAGGCCTAAGACAGTTTCTTTATTAATCAATGGTATTCACAGCATACCGAGGGGAACCCTACATCAATAACAGAATTAAAGATAACCTATGGCTGGGAAAACAGGAAATGAGAAGAGGTTGACTTCATTAGCCACTAGGGAACTGCAGACTGCAGCCGGATATGGAATGCACACAGTGCCAGTTGTTGATTCTGCTCTGCCCAGTGGAGTTACCGCCAGCCATTATGAAGTCAGATTTGTCCTGGAACCATTTTCGTTGGCTCCTTTCCTCCTGAGCTTATTCTCATTGAGTTGTTAGGGTGGACAGTGGAAATGTGTCTGGTGGCTGCAGGCTGCTTGGTTGACAGGGATCCTTTAAAGTTGTCCTTTATTTTAAGGACTTTGGCGGAGCAGGGAGTTCCAGACTGCAGTTGCGTGGTCTGCTCCAGTTGCTGTGGAAAGACCGCCTATTACACATGTAGAAAACCTGTTTTCAGGTTTAGTACAGAGCTCTGTAAGGAAGATAAGGTCCTTTTGCCTGTTTGTGTATTAGAGCATACAGTGATTTGACTTTGGGGTCATGCTCCACTAACAATTAACAAAAGTTAGAGGTGGCTTTTCATGCTCAGTTTTTGACATTGATTCATACACTGAAGAGGCATAAGAAAAGGCTTCTCTCTCATTTCTCAGTTTCTTTTGCTCCCAGGTTCTCATGACAAGAGAGAAGTGTCTATGCCGTGACAGGTTTGCAGCAAGGGCAGAGCATCCCAGGTTTGGGATTCTTCTTCTAAGTCTTGAGACAAAGGAACATTTTTAGCACTGCAGTCACCAGTGCAGCCATGGCTAGAGTTACATTCTTCTGACCCAGTGGCCCCCTTGCTATCAGAAGGAAAGCCTACTCACTAGCCTGGATTCTCTCCTACATATTCAACACAGTCAAGGTTGGGTATTCTTCCCCTTGAGGGAGAATTTCCATTCATTTAACAATTCTTCACCAATAGGAGACTTACTTTGTGAATTCAAGGGATTTTCTTCTTGGGTTTTTCTCTAAGTTTGGTCATTTTAAGTTGTAGAACTTCTAATTAAATCCCTGTTCCGAAGTATCTACTGCTCACCTGGTATGAGAGGAGCCAAGGTTTTGACCCTCCAAAGGCATGTGATGTGTGACTAAATTCTGTACATCTGTGCCAGGAAATCACAGGGAGACAACTGTGCTTTCACTGTGTAAATGGCTGTGTTCCCTCCCAGACACTGGTTTCAGAGGGAGGCAAGGAGGCAGACATACCCAGCACCTCGTCTTCTCTGAGAACCACAATAATCCAGACATCTTTCCGTATACAACCCGATGCTAGCAGGAATCCCCTGCCCCCTGAGGAGAGGAAGGAAAGGGACCCATAATCAAAGAATATTTATTTCCAACACTCATATGAAAGCTTCACTCTTTACAAGATAGAGTGAAACAGTCACAGGACTTCTCCTAAAAACAGTTACCACAGTACGTGGTCTGCAAATACAGCTGGTGTAGGCTTGCTGTGTGGGTGACAGAAGGACACTCATGTCACCACCTGGGATGTGGTCTTCTAGAACAGTGAACACATCCAAGTATAGTTTACACGCTTGTCACATTCTGGAAAATTTGGTTCAACTTAAATCTGTGCGAAGCTATCTGAGTTTATTTGTAAGATGAGTCATTGTTCAGGTTCATCTTGATTGTGGGTTTGATGGAGAAGAGAGTACAAGATTAATTAGTGGACTGGAGCGATGGCTCAGTGGTTAAGACCACTGGCAGACCTTCCAGAGGACCCGGTTCGATTTCCAGCACGAACAGCCTCCTGCTGCTTTTCTGCCTTCTGGAGGGAGGCATGAGCAGTCACAGTGCCAGTGCAAGCCTGCAGCGCTCGTCTGAGGAGGGAGCCCATTTCTCAGCCTGGGTCAGAACATGGACTAGAACTTTGATGAAGGTGTGCATACCCCAGAGTGCCTGCCTGCCTGCCTGCCTGCCTGGGTCCATTGCCATTTTTGTCAGCTCAGCTCCTCGCCTGTGAAGTTAATGGCAAAATCTCTGAAGCAAATCCCCCTTTCTTAATACCAGAATGGCTGTGTTGTGTGGGTCACAAAGTTGGGATAGTGAGCAGCCTACATGCTAAACAAGTAGAATCAAGCCCCAGAAGTCTCAGGCTCTGGGAGAATTGAAAACAAGTTGTGCAGATTGTCCTAAATACTGAAATACAGGCAGAGGGTCAGCCTGGTGGCTTCCCTTAAACAGGATGTTTGATCTGAGACTTGTGCTGCACAGAACCAAAGGATCTTTTCTTTCTTGCTTCAGTGCACACTTGACTCTGAAGTGGCGCTCAGAGTGGGTGGAGAGTTCTTCTTTGACCCTCAGCCCACAGATGCCCCTCGAAACCTCGTGTTGATTGCTGGAGGGGTTGGGATTAACCCCCTGCTTTCCATCCTGCGCCACTCAGCAGATCTCCACCGAGACCAAGCGGACAGAGGAAGAGGCTATGAGATAGGAGCAATAAAACTGTTCTACAGTGCCAAGAACACCAGTGAACTCCTGTTTAAGGTAACAGGGTGCTGTTAGCAAGTGTGGGAAATTGTATAGTCTGTAAACAGCAGGTGACGTGAAATGCTAAGTGCAAAGGAGACAACTGAGGCTTAAGGACAGGAGCTCAAGACAGAAGGAGAGAAGTGTATGTGTGGGTGGGGTAGTCAAAATAAACTGTATAAAAACGCCATCATGAAGCCTGTTACTTTGTGTGCTAATTAAACAGTGAAAACTCATTCAGGCATACAGGACAAGAAAGAAGTGAATCTGCCTAGGGGGTTGAAAGGGAGTAAAAGGAGAAGGATGGGGTGAATATGGCCCAAGTGCTTGGTGTACGCCAGTGAAAGTGTCTATATGACGCTAAACAATGAATATATACTAATAAACATAAATAGGCATGCATATAAGTGGGAATTTTTTTGTTCTCTTAGGTTCAGATTTCTCTGCAAAGGTTCACATAAAAGACTTGTCAAGGTTTAATCAATTCAAGTGAGAATTAGCAGGCCCTTTCACCCAGGGCAGTTAAACATGTTTCCAGTTAAGTGTCAGGGTAAAATGAGTCTTAGTGGGCATCTTATTCTTCTGTTACTGTGTTAGAACGCTCTGACCGAGATAACCGATAAAAGAAAGTGTTTAACATGGAGTTTCTGGTTTTAGAGGGTTAGAGTCCGTGAACATCGTGACAGCAGGCAGGCAGACTAGTGCTGAAGCAGTAGCCAAAATCTCACATCTTGAGACACAAGCAGGAGGCAGCGAGGGCTACCTGGGAAGGGGATGAGTCTTCTGAACCCTCAGAGTCCTCCCCAGTGACACTCATCTAATAGGGCTACACTTCCAACCCTTCTCAAACAATTCTACCAACTGGGGACCAAGTATTCAAACTGAGCCTGTGGCCATTCTCATTCAGATCACCACAGTGGGCTAAAATGTAGAAGTTAATGGAACAGAAAAGACACTAGGGCCAGGCAAGGTGTATCACACCTGTAATCCCAGCCCTGGACATGTGAGGCTGCAAGATTGGGCATTCCTGGCCAAATCCAGCTACGTAGCAAATTCAGGGTTGACCTGGACTACATGAGACTTTCTCAAAAAACAGGAGGAGGCAGAGATAGAGGAGGTGGTGGAGGAGGAAGAAGAGGAGGGAAATGGTGGTAGTTTTAAGGCATTAGCCCTTATTGGCCTGAAATTTGCTATGTAGACCCGACTACCCTTGAACGCATAGAGACCCACCTGTCTCTGGCTGCCAAGTGCTGGGATAAAAGGCAAAATATCATTCTACCCAGCTGTGGTTTGATTTTTTTTAATTGTAATTTGACCCAATTTCTTTGACATTCCAGAAAAATATCCTCGATTTAGTAAATGAATTTCCTGAGAAGATTACATGCAGTTTTCATGTTACAAAACAGACGGCACAAATCAATGCAGAACTTGAGCCATACATCACAGGTGAGTCCTCTAAGGAGACTGGCTAGCTCTGCAGTTATTGGATAGACAGGCCAATTGGTTAAGCACAGGTACTGTACTGTTAGGAGTCACCTGATGGCAATGTCATTCCCAGGGAAGCTGAGACAGTTCATATAGAAACACTTACTTGTGATTTGCTTATTATAGATACGTTTCTTACTGTCCATATTAAAATTGTACTTTTCACAACTTTTAGTAGATTCTGGCATTGTGACTACAATATACAAACAAATAAATTATACTCCTGAATCAGTTCCATTTGCCACTAATAGTTATTTAAATTACTCAGTTTCTCTATTTGGAAGGAGTCCTTAAAGTTTTTTATTTATTTTTTGTTTGTTTTACTGTTTGGGGGATAGGGTCTTACTATGTAGCCTTGACTGGCCTGGAACTCATGAAGATCCACCTGCCTCTCCTCTCCAAATGCTGAGATTAAAGGTGCCATCACACCTAGCCAAAGTTATTTTAAATGTGTGTGTGTGTCTGTGAGTGTGTGTGTGTGTGTGTGTGTGTGTGAGAGAGAGAGAGAGAGAGAGAGAGAGAGAGAGTTTGCAGTTCTGTATGGATTTCAGAGGACAACATTTAACATTTGGAGGTTGGTTCTCTCTTTCCATCTGTGAGTCTCAGGGATCCAGCTCAGGTCATCAGACTTGGTAGGAGCCTGTTTACGTGCTGGGCCATCTTACCATCCTGAATGGATTTTATTTATTTCTTAATAAAATAGCCATTTACTTGACTGAAGGCAGTTTTCGTCTCTACAAAGGCAAGTAAGCTTGTGGGCTCTCTAAAGAGCAGCTGGTGATGAATCTTCTGCTCTGCTTGCTGCAGGCCTAGGAAGCCTGAAGAGACCCAACACACAGTGAGCCATGGTGCAGGTCAGGTTCACGGTGCTGCAGGCGAGCTCTGCCACCCAGCTGTGGTAGGTCAGGATACAAACGTGCCTAACCTAATTGGTGTTTCTTCTGTTTTTTGGTAGAAGGAAGAATAACAGAGAAGGAGATACGACACCACATTTCAGCAGAGACTCTGTTCTATATCTGCGGCCCACCTCCAATGACGGACTTTTTCTCTAAGCAACTGGAGAGCAGCCATGTTCCCAAGGAACACATTTGCTTTGAGAAGTGGTGGTAGGGAGCAGGCCCAGAAGACCTGAGAGCCACTCAGGAGGGTGAGACTGTTTAGGATTTGTGGGTTTGCCTCCGCCTGAGCTATCTTTTTTTTAAAGCTGTGAACTAAGTGTCCAACCCAAGACTAAAAGAAAAACCAGCAACAGATTTACACAATAAACTCGGTGTCGACTCGTTAGTCAAGCTTTTCTTGACTCTCCTGATTTTTTCTTTCGTTAATACCTATTTAACTATCTCATGATAGTTCATTGTTATGGAGTTTCTGGCCCCTGGGAAAAGACCATACACTCAATCCAAATTATAATGAAAAGACTTATTGATTATCTACCAGCAGAATGACAGTGAGCCAAGTTTGAGATTGCCCTGAAGGAGGGGTATTGGCGAAAGGTTTATTAAAGGCAAAAAGCACATGAAGACTTTCAACATCTACACAAGCAAGCAAAATCTGGTCTGTTTTGTCAAGTGGTCAGTGTGACTCAAAACATTCTGTGAGTATCTGTAAGCAAGTTAGTAGTTAGTCGTTGTCACGAGTGGAGGGTCCCTGCTGTGGATTTCTGGTTAGGGGTCACTGAATCGAGGCTGTTTTCTGGGAACCTATCTGGAATTTTGAGTCTAAGGCAAGCAGTCATTAGGTATTAAGATGGAGGTCTAGCACAAAATGGTTTCTCTGGCTGACCTTTACACCATGAACTGATTAATACAAATTTTTCTTTGCCAAAGAAAAATGGTCTACTTACATTAAAGGAAAATATGAGTTTTGTGTTTAAATTATTAGACAGAGATTCATAAATCTTGTGTTTAGTGAAATTATAGTTTTAAATACATTCTTAATTTTAGTTTGAAAAGTCTTAATGTTTAACGTTTTGATTTATTTATTTATTTATTTTACTTTGGATGGCCTGTAGCCCCATGTGAACCCCAGTGTTGCATCAGTAAATGAAAACTCATTAAGAAAACCGCTTTAGTGGGTTGAATATCCTGTGTTCCTTCTTGGTGTTGACTACCCTGAGTAATTATTATTGTTAGTTCTTCTGTAATGAAACCTTTCTGCAAACTGCCCCCTGCCTTACCACTGAGGAGCTGGCTTCTTATTTGGGGCAAAGGTGTTGGTAATTGTTCTTTCATTCCTTCGGCGGCTGGCCTAGCTGGCTGTGGAAATGTTCTTAAGATTGGCTAAGAGGTGTGGAGCCATTTTCAAGTCCTGCTTGTCTGCTTTTCCTGTCCCTCCTTTTTAGGGTTGTTCCTGGCTCCAGCGGGTGGGTTGTACATACTCATTGGATGGTTCTCTCCTGTTGTAGGTTAGATCCCCAGATCCAGGGACAGGGCCAGACTGTCGTCCCCGGCTGCTCTGGTGAAACTGCTGAAAGTAGAAAGTGCTATCTATCTCTTTATATTTGGAGGGAAAAGTCCAAAGTTCACACACTAATTGAAGCAAAAAGGGCTAGGGCCCATGGCATCAGCTCAGCGAATATGGGAGATAAAACGACCCTAGGCAAGCCCAGTGCTCAAGACCCAGGAGGCCCAGCTGAGAGTCTGTTCTTGAGCCAGTGAGAGAGGCAGCTTACTCTAGTCTCTGTTGCTGTACACAGCCCGAGAGCTTACAGGCCTAGAGTAGTTCAGGGTTTGGGGGACAAACACCGTTTAACCTCTGCTTTGATTGAAGTTTTGTCAGGTTTTAAGAGACTCTGAGCTGAGTCATGTGTCACCAATGGCTGGGGCACACTCTGACCTGTGCTTTAGCGATGTGCAGACATTATAAAGTGCACATCACAAACTTGAGTTGTCACTAGGTGGTATAGTCTTATGAGATCCCTGTTGTATGTTCATTGACTGAACACTGATTCCCAGTGTATTGGTCTCTTATATCTCATATTCAGTGAGAGAGATAGGCCTGTGGGTCTGAGAGGGGTATTGTTCACCCCAGGAAGTGGACATCTGCCTTCGGAGGAAAGAGGCTTGGGAGACGTTTCTGAGCAGCCACAATGAACTGGGACTTTACTGATTGACCCCCATGCTGAGGGATGAACTTCAGAGCTGAGCTCTCAAGAGGCTTTGGAGGCGCTGAAGAGATGTCTCAGTGATTAAGAGCACTAACTATTCTTCCAAAGGACCCAGATTCAATTCCCAGCACCCATATGGTGGCTCCCAACCATCTGTAACTTCAGTCCTAGGATATATGACGGCCTTTCCATTCTTCCTTGGGCTCTGCATAAATGTGGTGCTCTGACATAGATGCAGACAAAACACCCTACACACAAAATTAATTTTTAAAAAAGAGGCATAGAATGCAGTACTAAGATACAGGAGTGTGGAGTCAACAAAGGGCTCTTCTCCAACTGCAGTGGATCGAACAAAGGAGACAGGAAGAGTCCATCCAAAGCCTCTGTGAAAGAGTGACTGTGCCTAGGGAGTGTTCTCAGCGCAGTGTGAGATGGCAGCCTCAGGGCCATCCTGCCTCTGTCCTGCCAGCACCATGCTGTGTTCCTACTGTTGTCACAGGGCAAGGGCTCCCTGTCTGGAGACCTCAGCTGTGCCAGCCACCCTGCACCTACTTGCTGACACTGTTGGGAACTGCTGCAGTGGGCCAGGCTATGGTCTTCGTTTGCCTGTACAGTTATTCTTTCTTTACAGATGAAAAGAACTGTACAGTTCTTTCCTGGTGCTAAGTGCTGCATGGCATGTTCTGGTCTGCTGACCGAGCACACCCTGCCAGGCCAGCCCACATCTCTCTGATGTTCAGTTTGAGCAAGCTTCAGCCATGTGGCTTGCAGTTTAAGGTGCAGCAGGGGTACAGCCTGTGGAGACTCTGCAGAACTGTTGTGCATGTCCTGGAGAGTTGACTTTGGTCAAGTTTCTTGGCTGGTTTTTGCTTCATGTAAATTTTCCACTTGTACCTGAGTAAAAGTAAGCACTGACTCTTTTTACGGACTTTTAAGGGGATTAAATGCAGTTATATGAATAACACTGAGTGGATGTGTTATCATTACTCATTTGTTCTTTGTCCTACTCAGAAAGGATTTCAGGAGGCTGAGCAGAGTTGACATTGTTCACTGACTTGGTCCTTCATGTGAGTAGACCAGTAGTTCTCAACCTTCCTAATACTGTGACCCCTTAATACCATTCTGCATGTTGTAGTGATCCCCAACCATAAAATTATTTTGTTGCTACTTCATAACTGTAATTTTGCTGCTGCTATAAATCATAATGTAAATATCTGTTTTCTGATGGTCTTAGGTGACCCCTGTGAAAGGGTCATTTGACATCCTGGGGGTGGCAAGCCACAACTTGAGAACTACTAGGGTAGACTGCACAGAGAAACCCTGCCTCAAAAAACAAACGAACCATAAAATATGTGAAAGCCATAAAACATGAACAAGGCTTCAAATAATACTGTGACATCTATTGTAACATGAAGAGGCCTGCTTGCTGGGGTATCTGTCCCACCCAGTACCCCACAGCCGGCAAGCCCCAAAGAAAAATCACAGAGAGGACTCTATAAGATTATAAACTGATTGGCCCATTAGCTCAGGCTACTTATTAGCTCTTATAACTTATGTCAGCCCATTATTTTTATCTATGTTAGCCACATGGCTCAGTACCTTTCTCAGCGGGGCAGCTTACATCTTGCCTCTCTGGTGGTCTGGGCAGAACTGCGGAGGGAGCTTCCTACTTCCCAGAATACTCCTGTTCTCTTTGCTCCACCTCTACTTCCTGTCTGGTTTTCCCACCTATACTTCCTGCCTGGCCAGTCAGCATTTATTTAAGACATAATTGACAGAATACAGACAATTCTCCTGCACTATTTCCTCCTCTTAAAAAAAAAAAAACCAACAACAACAAAGGAAAATATCCATAGTCCATTTTTTTGAATGTGGGCATAGTTTTCCAAGCTACTTCCTGCTGGTTGGGGGCACTGATAGTCTTATAAGGACCTAAAGAAAATTTAGAGTTATAATCAAGTCCTGACTGGAGTATCCTGTGAGTCTTGATCATCTCAGGCAGCAGTCTTGAATCCGTTCTGGTTGTAGAACTTAGACATCCGGGCCATCTGTTCCTACTGGGGATTTCTCAGATGGTCTTCCTTGATCAAACTGGATTTTTCTTAACTCGGAATGAATCCACAGCCTCTCATTTTCTGCAGAAACAAAAGCAAAAATCTCTTCTCCAAAGTAACATACCTTTTGACTTCAATTTTGAAGTATTTCCTCTGTGTGATTTTTCTTTGGGGCTTCCCGGCTGTGAGGTACTGGGTAGGACAGGTACCCCAGCAAGCAGACCCCTTCATGTTACAATCTATCAGATTTATTTCTGTATCACTATTATTACATATATCATAAGAGTGTTTTCTGTTCCAAACATGGCTATTGGGTCTAATGGTTCCATGAACAGAGAGACCCTAGTATATTGCCTTCTTGTGAACAAGATGTTCTCTTCATTACTTTATAATACACAGGCACACAAAATTAGATATTAAAGTAGTTAGTCTCAAAACAGAACGCATTGCCCATTAGCAACAAATTCATTTAGTGATAGCTTCATCTTAAAGCAAAAATAGCCAAGCTCAACACCGAAAAAATACATGTCTATTTCATATGGAAATCATGCAGAAGTCTGTCTCCATGTGTCAGCCCTTTGCTGCCTTCCTGTTTTGTGTTTAAATCCTTTCACAGTGCAGCCTCAGTAGAAGAGAGGAAGAAGATCTGCATCTCCTGGAGCTTGATTAATGAAAGGACAAGATGCAGGATGAAGCTTATGACATAAACCTGAGGTAAATCTTTCCCTATTTCCCCAGTGCTTTGCAGAACAACTCTAGCTGAAAATAATGCAACAGAGAGATTCATCCTTGTGGCCATTTCCCCACAACTCAAAACATAGAGTAGCCAAACTATTGCAAAAATGCACCTTTTTCTTTTCTTCTTCATAGGGTCATAACCATAGTCAGACCAGTTTGCTAGGACATTCCCCAATGACCTATTGCCAGGAATGGAACTACGCCATGAATTCCACAGAGATCTGGAGTAAAACAAACAGAACCTTTAAACCACAGGCCAGCAGTCATGAACCAGAGGTGGAAAACACAAAACAGGAACAAGATGGAACTGTGTTTAAGCCAGAAATCAAACTGTCTGTTCCCAGGCCCGAATCCAAAAGGTACAATGATGCAGTCTGTTGAGGGGATGTGACCGAGTATTGGGAGCTGGGGAAGGCAGAGTGCTTCAGGTGAAATCATGTAGTTCCTTTGGAGAGTTTCCTCAGTAGCTGGATGAGAGAAAGTCCCAGAATCATCCGAGACATCACCATAATATGTAACTAATACTAGAGCTGTGCTCCCTGTCAACACAAACGCTAGGAGCAGGAGCAAGCATTGATCCTATAAGACGGATTTTATTCAGTTTATTCATAGTTCTGAGAAGGTGAAAGGTGAATACCCAAGAAAGGCCCTCTGAGCAGCACATTGTCACCCAGCAGTGTTTTTTAAATTTTTTGTTATTTTCATGTATTTTGTGTGTGTGTGTGTGTGTGTGTGTGTGTGTGTATGTTGTTCTTTCTTTGTGTGTGTGTATCTCTGTCTCTGTGACTCTCTTTGAGTGTGTGTGTGTGAACAACTTGAAGTAGTCAGTTGTCTCATTTCACAACGTGGATTCTGAGTATCAAGCCCAGGTCATCCTGCTTGGTGGCAAGTGCCTTTTTCTGCAGAGCCACCCAGAGAGCCTCTGCCAGCAGGCTTTATAGAGAGGGAGGCAGAGTGTCATCTTCTAGAGTATTGCTCTTCTGGTCAGCCGGTCAGCCACACGCCTGAGGTCTGTGATGTCTCTGCCTCTCTTTCTTCCCCTTGTACTTTGCCCTGGTCATCATATTTCTGGACACCTGGTTCAGTGTAGTTAGTGCCCCTTCGCACCAATTCTACAGTGCCCAAGTCCCACCTGGGCTGGAGAGGTAATGCAGAGCTGTCCTGGCCTGCACATGCTACATTTTGAATAACATGGATGTGGGATTCTTTTTTGTGGCATGGAGTTCGTATAGTGTCACTATAGTGTTGGACATGAAAACATCCTTATCTGCTCCTCACACCTTTCCCTTATCACTTTAGAAGAAGTAGTGATGGGAGAGAGAGAAGTTGCCTTGACCTGTACTGTATGTGGATCTATTCCTCAGTCTATTAGCAGGCCCAGTTGCCCATAGCTCAGAGAAGCCAATCCAGTGCTGTATGCATGGCAGGCAAGCACTCTACAAACTGAGCCCCATCCCTGTCCCAATTGACCCTTTTCTGGCCGCATATTTCCTTATGTATTCATCAGCTCTGAACTCGGGGTGGTGATGTTTGCTCTTCATCACCAGGCAGGGCAGCTGTGACCAGAGCTATAAAGAGGCTGGAGCACAGATGTCCTCAGGGTGGGATGGCTGGACTCTAAGGCACTTCAGGTTTTCATTGCTCACAGGAACTCCTTACTGCTTCCCACACAGGAGATTACTGTTGAACGAGGAGGAGGGCTCGCTTGAGGAAGCAAACAAAAGACTAAACATTTAGGAGATATTAACGAATCAATCCCACACCAGTTATGTTTTAAGGGGTTATTTATTTGGCGGGGGGTAAAACTTACATACACCATAAACCGTCAGGAAGGGAGCCTAGTCGCTGGAGCAGGAGCCGGGAGCAGCAGCTGAGACCGAGCACCGGAACCAAGAGAGCCTTATCCGGAACTGCTTCTCTTTTTAAGAGAAAAATATACCACGCCCCAGTGGGCTGGTATTTCAGCAGCTATTGGCTGACGGAGCGGAAGTCGCTCCCCGCTGCACTGTGGGCTCCTGCTTCAGTGATTATTGGTTGAGGCAGCGGAAGTTACTCCCACAACAAGGAGAATGTTGGCTGTTTGTGAAATTTAAGCATGTGGCCTATCAAAAGAAACTTAGGCTGGAGGGTGCATCCTACCCATACCGTGGAAGATGGCTGATGCACTGTGCTTTCCCACGCTGGACCCTCTTCTCCTGGGCCTCAGCTCCCTAGCCAGCCAGACTGACCTACTGGGCTAACCTTATGCCTTCCCAAACACAGCCTCAGCACTTGGCTGCTGTGAATCGTATTTTTGAGCCCTCGTTTCTTTGTCCACAAGCCAGGAAAGAGCATGGAAGTTGTCTAGCAATCTGCTAGCACAAGATGAAGGCTTCTAAGGAAAATTCATCACTTCCCCTGTGGGCCTGTTTCCCTCTGCAGATTCTAAAGGCCATGGTCACTCCATCTTCCTTCATCTACATTCACATTTCTTTTTCTTTGGGCAAGTTGAATTTCCCAGGTGTTTATTGATCCTTTCTCTGTTTTCATGTGTGTGTGTGTCTCACTGTGTGTGTGTGTCTGTGTCTATGTGTGTGTGTGTGTGTGTGTGTGTGTTTGCCCCTTTATTGAACCTACTATATTTCTAAGACTTCATGTTTTCCATTGTTATAGAGAAATTCTTCATATGTTGTTTTCTAAGTGTGACCCCTTCCTTGCTTTGCTTGTTATTTAAATAGCCTAATCAAGGCTCCTGTGATTGGGGCCCTGGTGGTCCAGACCCCTTAGAACCATCAGGCAGGCGGGCCCTGGCAGTGCTGTCCCAGTGGCTGCACCTGCAGGTCACCATCATACCTGTCTTGGCTTCACTGATGTTTACCTGTATTCCAGTCACATCTCCAGCTACCTCAGCCCCAGTGAAGGCCTCCAGCTGTATCTTACTTGTCTATGCTTTTGTTCATGTCTTCTTCTCTTTATATACCTTCCTTTCCCATCCTAATTTCTGTTCATTTAATTCTAAGTATTCTGTAAAACACCCTTTAAAATTGCTTTATCTGGGCTGGAGAGATGGCTCAGTGGTTAAAAGTATTGTCTGCTCTTCCAGAGGATCCAAGTTCCATTCCCAGGACACATGTGGCAGCTCACAGCTGTCTGTAACTTGTATTCCAAGGGATACAATGCCCTCTTCTAGCCTCTGTGAGCACATATATGGTGCACATAGTTACATGTAGGCAGAATACCCATTCCATAAAACATATTTTTTTTTTCAAAAGCCATCTTGTCAGCAAGGGTTTCTCAAACTTACTCCTCAATAAACAGCACACTGACATTATTTCTTTGGGACACATGACTCGGTTTTCTATATCTCCCTCTTGCTAATCTGTATGTGTCTTATTCCCAGCCTGGGATGCCTGAAGGTGAAGCATCACACTCAGTGCTTGCTCCCAGAACCCATCAGGCACCGTTGTGCATGGCACTCAATCAATAATCATTCATTTTCCAGCTTCTGCTGCACAGCCTCATGACCCTTGCCATGTGGGTGCTATTGGACAATGCATACTGCTATTTATATTGGCATCTTCCAGGTCAACCATCTGATGGTGAGTCTTGAGGTTTACATCATTGTAGCCAAATAGACGTGACCTGCTGGCAAATGACAGCTTTTGAATATATGCACACTGAAACAATAAAATGAAGGATTTCAATTTGCCTCGCCTGCAAAAAGGTTGTTGTCAATTCTAGCTGGATAAGATTGCCTACAGAAGTGGTTCTTAACTTTCCTAATACTGCGACCCTTTAATACAGTCTTCATATTGTAGTGAACCCCCAACCATAAAATTATTTCATTGCTACTTCATAACTGTGATTTTGCTACTGTTATGATTTGTAATATAAATATCTGATATGCATGATATCTGATATGGGACCCCAAGGGTGTTGAGACCCACAGATTGAGAATCATTGGCCTAGAGAGCGTTGAAACTTAGCAAAGTCAAGATCCACCAGAGACCATGTCAGTAGAAATGTCTTGGGATGCAGTTGCACATGCAAAGCTCTTTGACTCTCACATGTAGCGAGGACTAAAAAGCAGCATACAAACTTTACTGTGTATGTCCATCACTGAGATCTTGTGAAAATGTAGATTTTAGGTCCTTTGTGGTGGGGAGGGCAGCACTGGGGTCGGCAGCACTGGGGTCACACACTACAGAGAAGCACTTTACTACTGAGCCACACTCCCCAGCCCCAGATGCATTGTGATTCGATGGAGCTGATGGCAGATGTGCACATCTGTGTTCAATGTTGACGCTGCTGTCTTTTAAGCACACATGGACACCAAAGAGCTCAAGCAGCAGTTCTTGTCCTGACTTGTAACATGAGGTCCTGCTAGTTTATGTTTTCTGTCCTGCCTGGTTCCCACAGCTGTTTAGCCCCAAATAAAATCACACAGAGATCTCTGTAAGTTAGAAGCTGATTGGCCCATTAGCTCTGGCTTTTTGTTAATTCTTGTAGCTTATATTAACCCATTATTCTGATCTATTTTAGCTATGTGGCTCAGTACCTTTTTCAGCTGGCAGATCACATCCTGCTGCTTTGGTGTTCGGGGCAGGAGTGGGAGGAATCAGCTTCCTCCTTCACAGAATTCTCCTGCTCTCCTTGCATCATTTCCACTTCCTATCTGGTTTTCCCACCTACACCTCCTGCCTGGCCAATCAGCATTTATTTAAAACATGATTGACAGAATACAGACAATTCTTCGCACCACTGACTGAACATGTGAATCACATGAGGAGTCTAAACAAGAAGTCAGTGGGGAGGGTACTGCTCATTTGGTTGAGTGCTTGCGCCGTGAGGTCCCGGGTTCAGTACTCAGCAGAGCATAAACTGGGCATAGTGGCAGATACCTATCAACCCCAGCTTGTGAGGCAGAAGCAGGAGGATCAGGGGTTGCATAGGGAGCTTGAGGCCAGTTTGGGATGCAGTGGGCTCTGTCTCCAATATATACATATATATATATATATATATACATATATACATATATATATGTGTGTATATATATATATATAATAAGCTACCCTAAGGGAGACATACATGTATCCTCTTGGGAAGGGGAAATAGACAAGAACTCCTGAGAAAATTGGGAGTTGGGGGAGGCAGAGAAAGAAGGATGAAAGGGGAGGAGGAAGGTAGAAGGGGAGGGAGGATGAGACATGAGGGAATGGAATGGTCAAGATGGGGTAAGGACAGAAAAGGAGAGCAAGGAAAGGGATATCTTGATTGTGGGAGTCATTATGGGGCTAGCGTGAAACCTGGCACCAGGAAAATTCCCAGGAATCCACAAGAATGACCCCAGCTAAGACCCTAAGCAATAGTGGAGAGGGTGCCTGAACTGGCCTTCTCCTATAATCAGATTGATGACTACCTTAATTGTCATCGCAGAACCTTCATCCAGCAACTGATGAAAGCAGATGCAGAGATCCATGGCTAAGCACTGGGCTGAGCTGGAGACCAGTTGAAGAGAGGGAGGAGTGATAGTAGGAGCAAAGAGGCCAAGACCATGAAGGGGAAACCTACAGAAACAGCTGACCTGAAGTAGGAGCTCACTGACTCTGGACTGACAGTGGGGGAACCTGCGTAGGTCCAAACTAGGCCCTCTGAGTGTAGGTGACAGTTGTGTGGTTTGGGCAGTCTGTGGGCTCACTGGCGGTAGGACCAGGATTTATCCCTAGTTCTTGAACTGGTGTTTTGGAGCCCATTCTCATTGGAGAGATACCTTTCTCAGCCTAGATACGGGGGGAGGACTTGGTCCTGCCTCAAGTAATGTGTCAGACTTTGTTGATTTCCCATGGGATGATGTAGAAGGTTGTTTTGTATAGGTATTGTGTGATGTGGCATCTATATGTGCATCATTCTAGAATATGCTGGTGATAACAGACACCACTGGCTCTCACTGGGAGAACTGTGAGCGCTGTGTTTGTAGAAAAGACAACCACTGGGACAGGGACGTCGAGAGGACATCTGCTCTTTTTCAGAACCCAATCCTCCAGGGCCTTTTATTTCAAGTTTTAGCTGTGTGTCTCATTTTGAGACAAGGTGTCCTTATGTTTCCCTGCTGTCAAACTCCAGTGCTCAAATGATTCTCCTGTCTCAGTCTCCCAAGTACACTGAGTGTGATGTGTCCACTACAGCAGAAGCATAGACAGGCATGCTTGCATCTATCTTCAAGGTCAGAATTTACTAATTAACAAATTTATAAGATATATTGGTTTCTTTTTAAAATTTTTTATTTATGTGTATGCGTCCCACAGAGGCCAGAAGGATTCCCAATAGCCTGGAGATGGTTGTGTGATACCATGTAGGTGCTGGGAATTGAACCTGGGTCCTCTGTAAGAACAAGTGCTCTTAATCACTGAGCCATTTTCCAGCCCCAAGCTATATTGAATTCTTTTCTATATACATATACATTACATTCATTTGCACACACGTGTATGTGTGTGTGTGTGCATAGCTTCTCTGACAGCAGACTTCAGGAAACAGACTTTGAAATCTAAATCTTAATTCTAATGTGTTATCTCAGGTCACACATTGCACATCACACAGAAAATTGGTCTATCTATCTGCCTATCTATTTATCTATCTGTCTCTATTCATCCATATATCTTATCAGAGGTAGATATTGGTATCCAGAGCTTACCTATTTGCTAAATCAGCCAAAGTGTTCCAGGGATCAATCAGCATATGTTCCCCAGTACTAGGGTTCCGGACACAGGCTGTCTCTCCCAGCCTTTATGTGGGTGATTGGGGATCTAAACTCAAATTCTCATATTTTTGTGACAAGCAGTTTATAGTTCCAACTTGGATTTTTCTAATTGAAGTTTTACTAATTCAAGTGTGTGTGTGTGTGTGTGTGTGTGTGTGTGTGTGTGTGTGTGTGTGTGATTGAACTCAGGGCCAAACATGCTAGCTGACCTGTGTTTCAGCCCCAAGAGCAGTTTTAGATTCTGAGCAAAAATGAGCACAGGTGCCAAGGTTTCCCTTGTGTCCCCACCCCCACATGCTAAGCCCCCCTTACTATCAACATTCCCCCAAACAGGATGTGTTTCTGCTCCTGCCATGGATGCACCTGCAGTAAAGCATCCCCATCCCCAAAGGCTGTGGTCTGTCAGTCTGTGTTTGATTTGACGTTGAATGGAGAGTCAGATAGGCTTCATATACAGATAGTCCTGTATCTCATGATCAAATATACAAAATACAGAATTTGCCATTGTAACTGTTTTTATGGATGCCGTTCACAGTGTTGCATCTTGCAGAACCTCAATTCTAGAGCTCAGCTGAGACTTGCTTTCAGTTTCAGCTCTAGGGAATGCTGTGGCTAGAGGATCACTGAAGTTCATCAATTTAAGACCAGTCTGAGAAACAAGTAGAACTATCTCAAACAGTGCCTGGAGAGACGGTTCAGGGAAAGAAGAGCTCTTGGACATAAGCTTGGAGACCTGAGTTTGGTCTAGCACCCATATGAAAAGTTGAGCATGGCTGTATACCCACGTGTAAGCTGATCACTCTAGGCAGCAGAGACGGGAAGCTCCAACCCAATTCTAGGTTCACTGAGACAACCTGTCTCAAAGGAATAAAAAGGGGAGTTCTAGAGCAGGATATTCAACAGCTTCCTCTCACCCCTGTGCCCATGCCCAGACACAAAATGCTTGAATACCACACACAGGCACCTCCAGAAGCACACACATACACTCACACTCACGCACAAGACAACCAACAAAAAACCTAAGCCCCAAATAAGAATCTAAAATTCTGTGTCCATCACTCAGTTCATTCTCCTGCTGGCCTCTTTCAACTACCATCATTGTGGTAGGAACCTCATGTAAATAGAATCATGTAATGTTTGTCCTTAAGAAATCCATTTCCTTCATTGAGCATAATTTTCTGACTGTATATGCATATTGTAGAAAACGGCTTTGCATCTTTCCTTTCCAAGACCCATAATATTATTATGTGTATACCATACTTTATAATCATCCAGTTGTCTGTTATAAGACATTTGAGTTGCTTCTGCCTGGCTTTTCTTTCTTTCTCTCTCTCTTTTCTTTCTTCCCTTCTTTCTTTCTCTCGTTCTTCCTTTCTTGTTTGTGTAGTTGTTTTTGAAACTTGGCTGTTACTATTATTTCTATATGTTCTAGAATATAAGAAAGTGTATCCAGTGATCAGGTGCTACTCTGGAAGCTGGTCTGATGGTCATTATAGTCTTTTGCATGAGCGATTCAGTCTGGACACAGGTGGGGGGTGGGGGAGATGTGAGGCAGAGGGATGACCTGTAGTATGCCATATATGTGAGTCCTGTGTTGCTTTGTTGCTCAGGTTGACTTCAGCATGGTGCGGGGTTTGTGTAGATGGTTTCTGCCAAGTTGTGGATGCTAGAGGTCTAGTCCCCAAAACAGAGGGACCCCAAAACATCAGCTTCAACCACACCAGCCACTCCACTCCCAATCTCCCAAATCCACCTGTTAGTAAGCTTCAGGTGTTTTATGTAGACAGGCATGATTCTGTTTTTATTTTAGTGGTGCCAGGATTGATCATAGGATGTCACCCTTTCTCGGCAAACATTCTCCCACTGGGCTATATGCTAACTCAATGGTGGCACTGGGTAAAATAACATTTCCCAACATTGCCTCTGGATGGGAACTTAACCAAGTGCCTTAGAAATTCTGACACTAGCACAAATAGAGTGCTATTTGTATTTAACCATTTGAAAATGCCATGGGAATAATTTTATGTGTATGTGTGCACTTGTACACACAAACATGCCCATCACATTGTGTGCATGTGGGGGTCATATGTATCAAAATCAGGTTGTGAGTCATGGAAGCCTATACTTTTGTATTGCTCATATTTGTTTGGGGATTGTTTGTTTGAGACAGGGTCTCATTGTGTAGTCCAGGCTGGCCTCAAGCTACTTGCCTTCCAAGTGCTGAAGCTAAAACATGAACCACCACTCCTGTTTTTGTCTCTTCTAATTATATTTGCTTTGCCATTTACTTTGTCTGGCTGCTTGTTTACATCTCCATCACTTAGTAATTTGTCTCCATTCTTCCATGTTATACACACCTTTGCCAGCTATGTGTGTTTCTTGGAGACAGCATTTAGCCAGCTCTTGTTTTTTTCCATTAGTCTCCATCTTTAGTGATGAGTTAAGTCCATTTGCATTCAAGGTTATTATAGAAAGGGGTTTGCTGTTTTCTAACACTTGGTTGGGTGATGTTCTGTGTTCCTGGACTGTTGAGTTTGAGGATTACTGGTGTGCTGTGAGGGGAAAGAAAGGAGCAGGGGTAAAAATCAAGTGAAATAGACAGACTGATGAAATGGCAGAAAGCTTCCCAAACTTACAGAAAGAACACAAGAAGTATATACAGTTCCAAATAGACACAACCAGAGATGCAATTGGCCATGGCATTGTCACAGTATGATGTTTAAAGCACAGGCTGGGAGCATTGGCTCTGTGGTTACGGGGACCTGGTGGTTGTTTCTCTGAAGAACATTTTCAGCACTCACAGGTGGCTCACAACCATCTGTAACTCTAGTCTCTCAGAATTTGGCACCCTCTTCTGACCTCTTGGCCACCAGGCATATAAACCAGACACACACATGATGCACAAACATGGGCACTGGGCACACACATGGAGAACAAACATACATACAGATAAAACGCTCATGAGCATAAAGTAATAAAATAAATAAATAAATCTAAAAGTGTCTTTAAAAATTAAAAAGCAAAGAAATAATCCTAAAAGCAGCACCGTAAAAGTAATAACTCACACACAAAGGCATATCTATGAGAATCACCCCCAGACTTTTAATCAGCAACCTTCAAAGCCAAAAGGAAGCCCTTAAACTGGTGAGGGGAGCCCCAGGAACCTGGATTGTAGGATCCTCTTGCACCGAGCAAATTTGAACACTGGGATTGAGTAGACAAGAGTCCTTTCCTGTTGGCTCAGGGTGGGCCGTGTGTACATAAGCGATTACATGACACAGAAGCCCCTCTCAACATTCAGGGGCAGGCATGGTGGCTGATCTTGGCTCTCAGCCTGACCACATCTGTAATCAATTCAAACCCAAGCAACTGAGCATACCTGTGAGAAATTTTCTTGATTGGCTGGGAAGATCCACCCTAAATCTAAGCCTCACCTTCCAGTAGACATGGGAGCTACCCCAGACCCAGCACTGCCCAGCACTGCCCAGCACTGCCCAGCACTGCCCAGCACTGCCCAGCACTGCCCAGCACTGCCCAGCCCAGGCTCTCCACACAGTGCTGAGAGTACACAGCTCTATCTCAGAAACTAAACCAGAATTAACACTGCCACATTTTCCAGTCAGTCTATTTTAGGTGGGTTGTATATGTCACACATAACTAGCATGAGCTAATCCTCACCATCCACAGGGGTCTGGCATTAGGTTCGCTGGCAGCCTGCATGAGGTCTGGAGGGCACCTTCTCAGGCTGTCTCTAACCTGTCCCAACCTTATGCAACACACAGAGGGATGTGAGGACACGCCTGAGAGGCAACTGAAAACCGGAAGCTCTCCAGGGAATTCTCCAGGACTCCAGCACCAGGTTTGGTCTTCTGAGTCAGCCAGTCTCAGACTGAACAACTATGGGATTCTTCGCCTTTCTATGAAGAGACAGTATTGTCACCCCACCCACACTACAGCCTGTAGAGCATTCTGTGTCCATTCTCTTAGCTCTGCTCCTTTCTAGGACCCTGACTAACCGAGCAGGTAATAAGCTTCTTTTACCTTTACCCCTATGTCTTCAGACATGCTCTGTAGACACACTGAGCCATCCACACCAATTTTATAGTGACGCTCTGGAAATTCGATGTTCTTCTGTTTCTTTTAGTTACAATAAAGTCACATTCCAGAGTCTGTATCTGAACTAAGGCCATCTGGGACAGGAGAGTGATGGGCACAGTGCAGCTTTTGCTATTTCTACACAAGGTGATCAAGAATGACTTATTCTTGGAGCTTTGCCTTGCTCTTGAATGATTCCCCTTCTGCCCCCTTCTCTAAATACCCCTTCCATTCACGGGCTACAATCATCCTCTAGCTTTTCCATGTCTCCAGTTTTCTGTTGATGCCACCTTGATCCATGTAGGAGCCACTCTTGTAGGATTCATGAAACCCTGTTATGATCCTGTCATTTGCTTAGAAATGTCAAAAAGCAGTTGAGTACAGGAGGATGGAATACCTTTACCACATTCTGCCCTCTCTCCCCTTCTCTGGGTTTCATGTAGCACAGGCTGTCTTCCTGTCTCCTTGGTACCCAAAGCTGGCCATGAACTTCTATTTTCCCTGCTTCTACCTCCCAGAATTAGAGGCATGCTCTACCACATTCAGCTTAACTGAATATTTCAATATAACCATTGTGTAGGATTTTTTAACATTATCAACACAACATGCCTGGCATGATGGATCGGCACTTACCCATATCTGATTAACCCTCAGTGTATACATGTACAAGTCACATTGTACCCAATACATATGTACAATTACCATGTGTCAATTAAATTGATAAACTGCATAATAATATGTTACCAAATAACATACTCTGAAGAAATAATAAAGACAGTAAATGCCTATATAGTGTTTGTTAACTGTCAGGAACTCTTCTATATACTTAAAATCGTTAATCCTCAAATCTTCTTAATAAAGTATATTCACCTTCAGAAAATGAAGATTTTTTTGAGAAAAGATTTTAGTTTTGTTTACATATAAATGGGATCATGAAATACACACTGTTTTGTTTCTCCCAAGTGTATTTTTGCAGTATGAATAAAAGTGAATAAAATCTACCTTGTGAGAGCATTTGACACTTGCATCTTATGTCTTCAAAATATTTAGGGTTCATTAAATTTGACTTATTTACTAGGTGTGAAAAGGACCCAGATGGAGAGTGGGGACCACGGCATGCTAGAGGCTTTTCCCAGGTGTAAATAGAAATTTCTCAGACTGTCAGAATGGCAGTGAGACACATCAGGAAGGCTCTGAGAACTCTGTCCTAGAGTCTTGGCCAATTCAAGGTCTCCGCTAGGTGGCAGACTGACCGCGATCTCCACAGAAAGACACTGCCTATCACCTTAGTTCCTCAAACACTTATTGAATGACTACATAACCCCACATACAAATGATCCTTTCAAAATTCCTGGTGGAGCTGGCTTTGGAATCAGATTCAGTCTCAACTTGGAAGTGTATGGCTGCAGATAACATATTTAACCATGTCCAAACTCAGGACTTTTTCATTTGTTTGTTTAATTTTGCAAGTCAGGCATGGTAGCACTTAGAGAAGGCGTTAGTCCCAGCGCTCAGGAAGCAGAAGTAGGTAGATGTCTATAATTTTCAGGCCAGCCTGGTCTAAATACTGAGTTCTAGGCCAGCTAAAGCTACAAGTGGAGACCTGTCTCAAAAACAAAACAAACAATAATAACTCTGTGTGTGACTTAGTGCGCATGTGTATACAGAGCTGTTACCTGAGAGTGTGCCTGAGAAAACCAGAAGAGAGTGTCAGATCCTCTAGAACTGAAGTTATTGACAGTTGTGAGCCACCTTGTAGGTACAAAGAATTGAACCCGAGTCCTCTGGGAAAGACCAGTGCTCTTAGTCATTAAGCTACTTCTCCTGCCCTGGTTTCTGTCACATTTTTAAGGTGATGATACCCAGCTCAACGTTTGTGAGGATTAAATAAGAGATATTAAAAACAGAAGAAGGAGAGGGAAAGAAGGAGAGGGGAAAGGAAAAGGAGAAAAAAGGAAAGAGAAAGAGGGAAAGAGAGAGAAAGACAAAGGAAGGAAGGAAGAAAGAAAGAAAAGAAAGAGAAGGCAAGCAAACAAAAGAAGAGGGCCAGCAAAATGGCTCCATCTGTAAAGGCACTTGCCACCATGCCTGAGCTGAGGTATCTTCAATACTTATTCCAAGTTATGCCACAGATCCTTAGTAAACAGCAAAGTTCTGACACAAAACAGACACACTGATCGGTAGAACAACATAAAGAACCCAATGGAAGTCCACACACCTACAGCTACATGATATTCAACAAAGATAGCAAAAACACACAGCAAATAAAAGCATCTAACCAATCTTGTGGGGAAGACTGGATATCTGTGTGTAGAAGAAAGAAACTTGGTTCTTCTCTTTCAGCCTCCACACAGATCAACTCCAAATGGATCAAAGATCTCAATGTTAGACTCTGAAACCTGTAGAAGGAGGAGGAGGGGGTGCACTTGAAAGACCCAGATAAATCCAGACCCCTCTAGCAGAAAAACTAGAGCCAAAAATCTAGCAGGAAGAGAAGAGCCAAAAATCCAGGTTAGCCGGTTCAGTGACTCTGTTTCAGGAACTAGCTGAAGATAAAGTTAGATTATAATCTTGAAAATAATCTTGAGAAACAGGAAGTTACCCCCTTGTGATTATCACTGGTATTTTCACAGTTTTTCAATGATCATTGGTATTTTCGGAATTTTCCAATGACGTCCCTACCCCTTTGGATTACTGGGTTGTGGTTTCTTCCCTTGAATACCCCTTCTCCCAGCTACTCGGGGTCAAGCTCTCTACCCCTGCGTGGGAAATGAGTTTCGGCCCCAGTGCACTGGTTCCTGTCCTGTCAGTAAACCTCGTGTGATTGCGGCAAGGACGGTCTCTCATGAGTTCCTGGGGGAGGGGGCCCCGTGTTATCCCAAGACTTGAGTGAAAGTCTCCCTGATCCTGAGGTCTTTCACACTTACTTCCAGATATAGGCCCAGGTGAGGATTTTCTGAATAGGTCTGCAGTGGCCCAGGAAAGAACCAACAACGGAGACTTCATAAAACCAAACAGCTTCTGTGTAGCAAAGGAAATTGTTAATTAACTGCGGATGCAGACTACAGAAGGGAAACAGATCTTTGCCACCTATACATGGAGGATCAGTGTCTAGAATACACAGGGCACCAAAGCAACTCCAAAAAACGAACCCCTTTAAAAAGTGGGTGATGGAACTGAACAGAGATTGTTGGAAGAAGAAATACGAATGGGTAAGTATTACTTTTACAAGTATTCACTATCCTGAGCCGTGGGGCAAATGAGGGCTAAAATTAACTTTGAGACTTGTAGAGGTCAAAAAATGTGAGCCTATTCCACCTCGACTGAAGGTCAGAGAGCTTGAGCTTGCTCGAAGTTGACCCTGAGCTAGGGTGTGGTTACTTGGTGTTTTGAACATTAAGATGGCCCGTGCAGGTAGATCCACTCCACCCAGACCAAAGGTCAGAGAATTCAAGCATACTTCTGCTCCTTCTTTGGAAATAGGAGGTTTGACCTAGGGCGTGTCTGCTTTCAGAATATGTGGTCTAGGGTGGGTTCACTGCCTAAACAACAGAATGCTTTTCTTAAGAAATAATGACTTGGTGTCTTAAGTATGGAAGCAAGTAACTGTTTTAGTTACCTTTTGTATCATGTTAGAGCAGTCTTTCGCCTCCTTTCTCCCCTTTTGTGTTGGGGTAGAAAAGTGTATGGAAAATTAAACAAGGGCAAACTCAGAACTCAGTATGCAGGAGACTGAGTACCCCTCCTGATGCTATCCTACGTCTCTGTGCTTCTTTCTTATCTCTGTTTCTCCTACCTAACACTTCTAATCCTCACACCCCACCCTGGAATGTAACAACCTGCTATGGCTAGGACCACGGCAAAAGTCACCCCCAAATGTGGCTCCTGACAGAGACTTAATGTTACTGCAGTCAGAATGGCAAAGATTCGTAAAACAAAGGACAAATGCTGATGAACATGTGGAGGATGGGGAACTGTGACACACTGTTGCTGAATGTGCAGACTGTTGCAGCCACCATAGAAATCAGCATGAGGATTTCCAGAAAGAAAAAAAAAAACCAAAAAACTAAAAATGCACCTATCATGTGCCCCAGCTGTAAGGGAGGTTGGCCCCCTGGAATTGCTACAGGACACACCCAGACATAAAATTTTCAGCACAAATGAGATTTAGTACCTCAGTGGAGCAAGCAAGGGCAAGGGAGGCTGCAAAGGCAGACAGCAAGCAACGAGCAAATAAGCAAGTAACAACCAAGTGTTTTTTGCAGGAGTGGGTTTTTTTTTTCTTCTAGATAGGGTTTTTTGTATAGCTTTGGAGCCTGTCCTGGCACTAGCTCTGTAGACCAGGGCCTGCCTCTGCCTCCCAAGTGCTGAGATTAAAGACATGTGCCACCAGCACCCAACTTTTGCAGGAGTGGGTTTTTGTTTGTTTGGTTTTTCAAGAGAGGGTTTCTCTGTAGCTTTGGAACCTGTCCTGGGACTAGCTTCGTAGACCAGACTGACCTCAAACTCACAGTGCTACCTCTGTCTCCTGAGTGCTGGGATTAAAGGCCTGCGCCACCACTGCCCTGCTAGGAGTGGGTTTTTAAGTAGAAAAGGGGCGAGTCTGTGCTAGGATGAGTCGTGAAGTCCTGATTGGACATGTTAGCCAAATAATGAATTTTGATTCTTGCACCTTGGCATTTTTCTCTCTCGAATGAGTCAATGGCCAAATAAGGGAATAGATCTTGGGAGTTCGCTTTAGAAATGTAATCTAACAGTTTTAGCAAAGGGGAGAAGAATAAAAGACCAAACCTGTCGGTAGCACTATGTTTGCTTAGACCTGTGTTTGCCATGCTCCAGCCTGCTAGAGCCCTTCACCAGCTATATCACTCCCAGGCAAATACTCAAAGATTCCATTTCCTGTTACAGGGTGTGCTCACCCATGTTCATAACTACTCCACTCAAAATAGCTAGTATACGGGTGGCATAGCTGCTCATGCACTGAAGAATGGATAGTGAAAATGTGGCCCATATACACATGCGGAGGAATAGTCTTCAGCTGTAAAGAAAAATGAAAATTGCTGGCAAATGAATTGAGCTGCAAAACCTACAAAGTGAAGTATCCCAGACCAGGAAGGACAAACATCACATATTCTGACTCATATGCAGGTCTTACTATTCACTCCTTTGAGGATGAGTTTAATTTGAAGCACCTGTAGAATCCAGGAAACAAGAAAATAACAGTTTGGCAAAGGAGAGGAAGATCTTAGGGGAGGGGGAGTAGTTGAAAAGGGTGTGGTAGTCTGAATGTAATTGGCCCCCATAAGATCTCAGGGAGCAGCACTATTAGGAGGTGTGGCTTTGACAGAGTGGGCATGGCCTTATTGAAGGAAGTGTGTCACCGTGGGGGTGTGCTTTGAGGTTTCCTATACTCAGTGTCCACCCAGTGTCTCAGTTGACTTCCTGTGGTCTGCAAACCAAGATGTAACCAGCACTACGTCTGCCTGCATGCCACCATGTTTCCTGCCATGATGATAATGGACTGAATCTCTGAAACTGTAAGCAAGTCACCCCAATTAAATATCTTCTTTATAAGAGTTGCTGTGGTCAGCTGGGCGGTAGTTGTGCATGCCTTTAAATCCCTTGGGAGGCAGAGGCAGGCGGATCTTTATGAGTTTGAGGCTATCCTGGTCTACAGTAAGTTCCAGGACAGGCTCCAAAGCCACACAAAGAAATTCTGTCTCCAAAAAAAAAAAAAAAAGAAAAAGAAGGAAAGAAAGGAAAGAAAAAATGAAACAAAAAACCTCAAAGAGTTGCTGTGATCATGATGTCTCTTCACAGTAAAAGAAAGCCTAAGACAGTGAATGATACAAAGGTAAAGGGAAAATAATGGGGAGAGAGGATTAGGTGGGGAGTGGAGGGGACCAGAGGGGCTAAGGGAGATATAAGAATGTTTGGAAAAGCTATATGGAAACCGACTATTTTATAAGCTTCCATATACATATTTGTTTAATTGGAGCTCCCCGCAGAAGTGA